GCAGGATCAAAACAAACGGACGCTTTTTTCAGCCGAGGGAATGAATAATAATAATAATAATAATCACGCTGAAGGTGTCTCCGCAACCCCCAATGCAAGTGTGCCGATGTGATGGAGCCTATAAGATCGGCACAAAGAGGATCCAGATGTCCGATTCGCCCCGGAGGTTGCCATAGCGATATAGTAGTGGCGCTGTGATATTACGCGCAGGCTGGCCAGCCCCCCATGCGAAAGGGCCCGATGTGTATGGAGGATTGCAGCTCGGGTATCCATCAATGAAGATGCCTTCCTGGGGGGTTTAAGAATGATTGACCAGAACGAGAAGGAGGACTTCCATCAGACATATCGTGCGGTTCTAATAGGACAATTCAGATAGCGTAGAGAGACAGTAAGGAGGAGAGTACCTCGGTGATCAGCCGAGAACTCAAACCGGGAAGGCGGCGTAAACAAATGGCCTGGCATAAATAATCGTGATGCTCGCCGACTGTGCTGGTCCATTTCCTCTTCCTCTTCCATTCCTACAATCTAACATTCCCCGGCTCTTAATCTTATCTTTCTTCCCCTCCATTCCAATCATCTATCTATCTCTGCAGGATCAAAAGAACTTCTCTTTTCCTCCTCCCCACCCCGAGAAAGACTTCCCTTTCAAGTCTTTTCTTGTTTAGTCTTTCGAGTTGTTTAACGACAGTTCGAAAGGCATTCGAGAAAAGACGCTCAGAAGTCCGTCAATCTGGACTTTGACGCCCGTGTCCCCATCCCCTTCAGTGTCTTCCCGTCGTCGTACCGGAGTGACGCTGTCTCTGAAACTACTCAGACTCGAGTAGAGGGAGAAGTCAATTTCGATCGTACTTCGCGCGTCGAACGGGAAGATACTCGAGGTTCTGCTCCCCTTCCCGCTTCTGTTCACAGAAAGGAAGACATCGAGTTCCGCATTCAAGAAGAGCGTCCGCGCATTCAAGAAGAGCACCCTCAGTACAAGCAGCAATCGCAGCAGTACTCGCAGTCCTACCAGCACAACTACGCCCCTGAAGTTGAGCTTACTCGTGAACGGTATGTAATTGTTTTTCCTGGTATTGTTTTTTTTGTGTTTTTTACTCCAGCCCCAGGTCTCCACTTTGGCAAGTGGAGACCTGCAGCTGAACTATCGATATTTGTTGTGAGATCTCCTATCTTGGGATGGAGCGATTGCGAATTTTGCCGGGGACTAAAATTACGTGTCCACAAACCCCGATCCACTTCAATTAGCGGTGTCTCGCTTGTTTTGTTTATATGTATATGGTACCCGTGCATGTGGGCTGACAACCTTTCCCAGCTACCCCAGTTACCAACAACCCACTGTTGACTACGAGGACCGCACTCAAGTCTACGATAAAGTCGTCGAGAACCAACTCGACCTCACTGAAAGAGACTACCGTCAACGTACCTCCCCCTCCTACGACCTCGACGTCTCTTACGACCGTCGTTATCGTCAGCCCGTAGACTCCGCCTACGGTTACCAACCTCAGTCCGTCGACGTTTCGTACGACCGGACCGCCCAACTCCAGACCGACTCTTACAAGGCAGACGACGTCTACCTTCGTGAAGTTCAGCCCCGTGCTCGTTACTCCACCTCATCCCAAGTAAACGCTCCCCAGTCCACTACATCTACCACTACCCGTGACACCGCCCCTACTCGCAAAATGGGTTACTACGACGACGAAGGCCAGTACCACTCCTTCCGCCGTGGCGTCGAGCGCGCTGCCGACCGTGTCATGCACCCCTTCTCCCACTCTGAGCATGAGGAGTCTCACGGCGAGGTCGCTGCCCCCCGTGCAAACGTCCGCGTCGTCGAGCCCCGCAACCGCGGCTCCTCTGGCGAGACCGTGCCCATCCCTTGCCACTTCATCCGTGTCGGGGACATCCTGATCCTTCAGGGCCGCCCTTGCCAGGTCATCCGCATCTCGGTCTCCCCCCAGACTGGCCAGCACCGTTACCTCGGTGTCGACCTCTTCACCCGCAAGTTGCAGGAGGAGTCTAGCTTTGTCGCCAACCCCTCTCCTTCGGTGGTTGTCCAGACCATGCTCGGCCCCGTCTTCAAGACCTACCGCATCCTGGACCTCCGTGATGATAACAGCCTCGTCGCCATGACCGAGAGCGGTGATGTCAAGCAGGGTATCAGTGTGATCACCCAGGGCAACCTCTACCAGCGCATCAGTGATGCCTTTGCTAGTGGCCGTGGTTCCGTCCGTGCCCTCGTCATCAACGATGGTGGTCGTGAGCTCGTCGTCGACTACAAGGTCATCCACGGTTCCCGTCTGTAATTTTCTTTTTCTGGGTTTCTCCTAGGGGGGCTAGATACGCTTGTCCCTCGTCCATGGTGTGATGATAGTTATTTGTTTCCTTTTCCTTTTGCTCGTGTGATTTAATTTTCCTTTGTATGACGATCTCATGTTTGCAACTTTTTGTGTGCTGATGAAAACTTTAATGGATTTATTTGCCCTCAATCAGCCATGACTTCCTTGTAGCTAGCTCATAATGCAAAAATCAGAGCCATGTCCACATTACCTACTCCGCTGTTTTACCTTTCTAGCTCATATTGAAGTTAGGCAGAAGCGCATCTTGCATATGTATCTTATTGGCTTGGCGAGGAGAAAAATTTTCACGCCTTTTGCCTTCGATGTTCCTTCAATTTACATGTGAATAGATGAGAATCGCAACATTCTCTTTCATCGGTGTCGTTGTAGGTGAAAATATAGTTGCCATTGATCCTGGGGTACATATTCCATAACCATGGTAGGCCTCGGGCAGGCACGACTTCCTATTCGCTGACCTCTGTCATGCCCGACCATTTCCAAGGTTGCCTCGACTTTTTTATAGACCTCAGGTGTCGCCTTGACCCTTGTACTCTGTAGTGAGCATTGTCTAGATCTGCAATATTTGAGGGCCTTTCATCTTTGTTTAATGAGGCTATAGCGACGTTCTACTTCAATCTGTTTTCTCGAGGTCGATCGATCAACCAAGCTATCCATTCTTGCCGCTCGTGGGTGCCTACACTCGTCATATACGGCTTTAAGAAGCAATATATTTCTCCATCGAGCTTAACATCTAAAGGGCATTGTGTCTTGCAGTTTTTGCACTTAGATGAACAATCGCGAAACACCCAGGCTGACGAACGAACTATGTATGGGCCACACTTATTATCCTGTCAAAGCTGTTTAACAAGTCCACGTTGCTTTCGACGGCCAATGAACAGATCTACTTCATTTACAACAGTCAAAGGGTACCGTGGAACGGGCTCCCCATAAGTGTGCAAAGTCATTATTCAGATATTTTGATTTATCAGAGTTTACTCTGTCTATCTTATTCTAATATATCGAGTCAAGGCCCACTGTTCTGCATCATCCGAGGGCCCCTATCCACACCTCTCTCTAGTATCTGTTTTATGTCTCTGAATGCTTCCAAGGTTATTACTATCAACTTCCCCTCCAACTTACTTAGGTATACCCTACAGCGGTATGACTTACACCAGTGCTCCCTTTCGAACTATGTTTCCGCATAACTCAGTGCTGGTTCTGGAGCCAAATTGGACTACAAACTATACAAACACGCTAATAATGTGTGTAATTCTGCTGGTTTAGCAGGTTTATGAACGCCAAGACCTAATTTATGCAAAAAATGGATCAAACTGGGTCCAAACTGGGTCCAAACTGGGTTTTCTGGGGCCCCAGTCACTGGGTCCGGGTTGAGTCTGGGGTCGAGAGGCCTCGACCCAAATTGGGTTATGCGATTATCTACCATCAACCCACTCAGCACTGAAGTTGTTCGCGGCATTGCATCTCACGACAAGGTCCGCCACGGAGTAGCCGAGATACCAACAGGCCCACAGCGAATATGCGAAACTGACGAGGGAAATGAATTGCTTCCAGACGATGAAGAGCCGGGTAACACGAGAGAGTAGACCGTAGGTATAGTTCTGCACTCTAGGAGGATATCATCGAGCGACATTGGTTAGAGGAGGAAGATGTGTCCTAGGTGATTCAAGGGCGTTTGCGAAATAGCCTCTTCCATCTTAGGAAGCGGCGGTGTACGGACGTAGGCAGACCATGTTGTGCGTAGAGAACAGGCTTTGGCTCAGCGGAGGCTCATGGAGTGCTGGATACCTTAGTTACCAGCGCTTATTGCGTCAGCGGAAAGACCTCGGGATGTCCTCGCCGATGATAGTTATCTGCAAGCGTTTTATGCGGTGTCAAGCAGTTTCCTGCTCTAAAGAGAGCCACTCATACCTGCTGCCTATGGTCTCATCTTCTCACTCATGATCCGCGCTTTCCCCAAGCGATTCAATTACTTCATTCCGCGGGGGTAGCTCTTTCCCACAACTGCAGATGAGCCTGCTATACGCGGAACGAATACCCTTCGTGTAATACTCATACGGAAGTGGAACTCCGAAGAATGCATTTGAACCTGAATTTAAATGCCCGGTTATGAATTAGGACGATATGATTGAGATAGGCGTTTCCAAGGTGGATATGAATTAGGCACGATTCCAGTACTCCGCAACGCTGATCTCTAATAGGCAGTTGGCTGAGTTAGCCCACGGCCGTCTGAATCTGATTATGGTACGATTACAATCCTAATCAACAGATCATGGCAAATATATTGCGAATACGGACTAAATAATTAGTCTTAAGGCTCAATGTGCTGGATAATGAGCGCAACAGCCCGCAACAATGTTATCTATCCCTAGTACCTTCCCACCTCAATGCCTTGGCAAGGTAACCTCAGCCTTTGTCATACCAAGGGCCGTCGGATTCCGCCTGCAGGACAATAGCCGGCCCTATGAAAGTGCTTCCTCCTCTGCCAAGTGAAGCAAGCCGGCCTCTTGGCGTATCCATCGGGGCCCTGCCAATCACGCACCATTGCGCTTTATCATCGCGTGATGGTCGCCGACAATACGAAGAATGGGTATAAAATCACATCTGCCCCTGGCTCAGAATGGTCATCAATCCGCGCATTACTTAACGATGAAGTGGCTTTTCTTGATAACCCTGTCCGTGGGCCTGGCTGAAGCTGGCCGGAGGAAGCCCCTTGTTTCACCGGTATGTATACATGTTGGATCTCCGCCGTCGTTTAGGTAATCTGACTTATTAGAATGACTTTCCCTCTACCATTCGACTGAAAGACCTCCTGAAGGGCACCCAACAGCTTGAGGATTTCGCCTATGCGTACCCCGAGCGTAATCGCGTCTTTGGCAGTGCAGCACACAACGATACTGTTGACTTCATCTATCGCGAGTTGAAGAAGACCGGCTATTACAATGTGTGGAAGCAGCCGCAGGTGCACACATGGACTACTGCAAATACCTCGCTGACGCTTGAGGGCGAGTCTATCAAAGCATCGGCCATGACCTACAGTCCTAGCGTGGAGGTTACTGCAGAGCTGGCAGTGGTCTCGAATCTCGGATGCAGTGCATCAGACTACCCGAGTGACGTGGCTGGTGCAATTGCCCTAGTCCAGCGTGGAGAATGCACTTTCGCAGAAAAGTCGTTACTTGCTGCTGCTGCCAATGCCGCTGCGGTAATTGTCTATAACAACGTTGCAGGGTCTCTTAGTGGAACCCTGGGTGGCGTATCCAGTGATTATTCCGCCATCGCGGGAGTTTCTGATGTCGACGGCAAGGTCCTGCTCAGTGCAGCAGAGAAGGGCGCTGTGACTGTGTCTCTTTTACTGGACAGCCGGGTCGAGAATCGCACTACATTCAACGTAATTGCAGAGACAAAGGGCGGTGATCACAATAACGTCGTCTCACTGGGAGGTCACACCGACTCAGTCGATGCCGGCCCAGGCATCAATGATGATGGCTCTGGAATCATTAGCAACCTCGTGGTGGCAAAGGCGTTGACGCGATTCTCTGTCAAGAATGCCGTGAGATTCCTCTTCTGGACGGCTGAGGAGTTCGGCCTGTTGGGTAGCGAGTATTACACCTCCCACCTGGACGCAGATGAACTAGCAAAAATCAGACTCTACCTCAACTTCGATATGATTGCCTCGCCCAACTATGCGCTCATGATCTACGATGGTGACGGAGATGCCTTCAACCAGACTGGACCAGCGGGATCTGCCCAGATTGAGGCTTTGTTTGAGAAATATTTCAGGTCAAAGAAGCTGCCCTATGTTCCTACTGAGTTTAATGGCCGATCCGACTACGAGGGTTTCATCTCTCGTGGAATTCCCGCCGGTGGACTTTTCACTGGCGCTGAAGGCCTCAAGACCGAAGCAGAGGCAAAACTGTTCGGAGGCCAAGCAAACGTATCCTACGATGTGAATTACCATGCTGTCGGGGACAACTTCAAGAATCTCAACCACGAAGCATTCCTGATTAATTCGAAGGCTACCGCTTTCGCTGTTGCTAAATATGCTAATAGCCTTGCTTCGATCCCCCGACGGAGTGCAACCGACAAGCGAGAGGTCAAGAAAAGGGAGCCTCGGGCGCATGCACACACCGCGGAGACCGGATGTTTCCATTCCCTGGTCGAAATTTGATAGGTCTATTCACCTGTTACTGGTCAACAATGTTGATACAAGCAAGTATCCAATTCAATCTATTCTCTGACCAATTGCTGTCTACGGGGTATATCACGTCATCTGGCGAATATGACTCTTTAGACTTCAGAGTAGAGATATATAAAAGCATATTTTGAATGTATTCAGTATCGTAGGGATCAGATTCTATAGAAAATGCTAGCCGCCATATGAGTCGAAGAATGAGTCATATAATATGAAGACATAAAATATTTCTCTTTCTATAGTAGACGTCCCTTCCAATTTGCTCAAAATTGGGTTTTAAATTCATACAACCAAGCTCCCCCTCACCCTGCTGAGGTTCTGATATCGCCGAGCTGTACACGTTCTGACTAAAACGGCATACCTGAACGCAAACAACTCGCGGTACGTTGAAAAGCATCTATCTCCGGGGGAAAGGCTTCCATCTGGAGTCTGCAATTATCAACTGATCAAGTATGTTCTTGGGGCCATTTGTGGCAACCCAATGCTGATTATTGCCAATGTGCGATCTTCGGATGACGTCACGAAGCGAATACTAGTTCGCAACCCCAAGATGGACGTAACGTCGCTCAGTAAGTTTTCAAAGGGGATGATGGAGAGGCTTTGGACTCTAGCATCCTTGCGATCTTGCCTTTGAGGACACTGGAGACAATCAGCAATTGGTTGTCCAAAGAGACGAGGTTCTAAGGTTCTTCAGCTCCCGGTCATCATTAATTGCTCTAGGGCTTTCTCTATATTTGTGAGCGCAAATGCAATGTATCCAGTTTGTTCAGCTCATAGCCCATCATAACGTCATCATATCTCTCAAACCCCTCTTTCACAGTTCCAAATGGGAATCGAGAAAAGCGTAATTGCCCAATAGCATCGATTAAGAATCTAGTCGCGCACACCTCCGATCAGGTCCAGAATCGCGCGCGTCACCTCGTCCGGACTTTCCTGGGGCGTCCAATGCCCAACCCCATCCACAAGCCGAAAGACACGCAGGTCAGCACACGAAATCCCGTTCTTCATCTTCTCAATAGCACCGGGCTCCTGATAGTTGCCCCAGTCCAGCTTGCCCGAGACATAAGCGCAAGGCGGCTCGAGCTTCTTCCCAGCAAAGACATCAAAGTCCTTCGTATACCGGCCCCTAGCAGCGGTGCGAACACGGTACCAATTCAACCCACCCTGGAAGCCCGTGCGGCTATATTCAGCGGCATAAACTGCGAGCTCTTCATCCGGCAGCCAAGAGTGCGAGGCCAGACCGCCGGACGGCTCATGCTCCATATCATGCGCCACCGTTCCAGGCATCGTCTCATTCAACGGCATGATATAGTACCCGGGTAACTTGACCAGGTCAGCAGCAGACCACTTCCCAAGCGGATGTGGCCGGTTCCCCAGCCACGAACCACTCTTCAGATGAAAGTATCCTCGCAAGAAGCGATGCATCTCGTCAGGCTCCAGATCCGACATTTCAGGACCAGCCTGCTTAGTCGAGTAATACCACTTATAATGCTTGCGCCCGAGTTCCGCAAGCGCGTCATGAATCCCCGCCGCAGCAGCCGACCCCTCCGCACCACCCGCCCCACCTGCCGCCGCCGTCTCAGACCCAGTCGCGGCATCCGCATTCGCCGTGTTAAACGGTAGATCCGGGGCCCCGTTAAACGGATGGCTCATGAGGGCAACGCTCTGGAAGAAATCCGGCCGTATTAGGGCGCACGCGGCTGCTGATACAGCGCCGCAGTCGTGGCCGGCGACGCACCGGACAGAACGGTAGCCTAGTGCGTGTGCAAGAAGCACAATATCCCGCACCAGCATGGATAGTGAGAAGGTTGCCAGGTCGACGTCTTCATAGCCGCGCGTGTCCCAGCCTGTGGTGCGGCCGAAGCCGCGCTGGTCTGGGGCTACGACGTAGAAGCCGGCTGCTGCTAGTTTTGGGATCACGCGGCGCCATGAGTAGGCGATTTCTGGGAAACCGTGGAGAAGGATAATCAATGGTTTATTGTTCTCTGGGGTTTGGCCGGCTTCTAGGATGTGGATGTTTAGATCGTTTGTTTGAATGTTGCGGCTTGTTACGCCTGCGGGGAGGGGGAGGGGTGGAAGGGCCATTGTTAGGATTGAATATATGTGGGTTGGATGAGTGAGATATATGCCGTGTCAGGGATATAAGAATGAATCTAGGTATGCTGTACACAAACCGAGGTCATACCCCATAAAACGTGGTCCACCAAGGCGGTAAACCAAGTTCTGGTGCCTGACCCATCAGAGTCATGACGCAAGTTCCTCTCGATCTCGGATCTTCCTGGATCTGTCTCGAACGGCTTTTTATCTTTTTTTTCCTGCTTTCTGCCTTTTTTTACAGCTCTCCTTACCTCGTGCCACCTTCATATCTCCTTGTTTCTGACTGGCTCTCTGACTTGGTCGATCCCTCCCGAGTTGTTTCCCCTCAACTTCTCAGTTTTCTAGTTTCCACTTCTTGCTATAGCTACCCTCGTATAATCATCTGGAGATCCACATCCCTTCATCCACTTCAATTTCGGATCCCGGCGCTGCACCGAGCAGTGTCCGGCCATCCGATCTTTGACCCCTTCGATCCCTACAAGGCCCAAGACTCTGAACAATGGTCTTCGGGCGTCGCAAGAGAAGTGCCTCTGCCCATCATCAGGTGTGTTCTACCAAGAATAGCAGATCTCCCTATCTGCAGATGGGTCCCGCTGCAGCGCCTGATGCAATCCAACGGGTACCTGCAACCTATGCATGAAAATGAAACTGACGACTCCTTTTCCCAGCCACTCTCCACACCTGCCGCGCACTCTGCCCAGTCCGCCGCCAGCCATGCATTCTTAAAATCCCAACCCTCCACAGTCAGCTTGTCCTCCGCCGCGGCGGCAACAGCGCTCCGCAACTGCACACCCACCCCGACCCCCATTGAAAATGTGCAGACAAAACGAATGGTCCAGCGGCGCACCTCGATCCAGTCGCAGGCCAACCCCGTTAACGGTCGCCGCTCGGCCAGCGTGAGTGCCACGCTGCGCCGCTCCAGCAGTAATAGTTCGATGAGCGCACGCACCTTTCGCGACCAATCCCCCCATCGCCCAGCTACCAGCTCCGGACCCGTCGGGCCAGGGGCCATTCCCGTCGATGTGCCTCCGTTACCTACTCTCCCGACGAAGTTTTCGCCGCGGAAACTGCCGAACCGACGAGCGGTGAGTATGGAGCCGTCGATGCGTTCCTCCCCATCGTCTTCGCCGCGCTCTGGGGTGAGGGGTGTGGATCGGGAACATGGGCGAGGGCCTCCGATTCAGCCAACCACGTATCAACGGGTGACTAGTCTTGGGACCGTTCCAGAAATGGAACGGTCGACGAGTCGGAATTCAGTGAATTTCTCATACCCAATGGGTTCGCGACCTACCTCGCCGATGACGATGTCTGAGAGCAATCCGATGAGCCTTCACGATGCTATTCAAGAATCGATTGCTGAGGTATCTGACAAATTGCCAAAGGGGAAGCCTAAAGCACAGCGATCTGGCAGTCTAGAGGAAAGCCCTGTTGTAAGCAAACATGTTCCTTTGGCTGGCACCGCAGATGCTACTGCCCAATCGGTTGGCGTGCCCATGAACAGGCCGAGTGCGAATGGTCGAACTGGGAAGGTTCACAATTCGCTTATAGAGCCCGATTCTCTGGACCAATATACCGGTAGCGCGGTGCCTGTTGTGGCTAACGTAGAAGCTGAACACCCATCCTCACGAGCTCTTCCTGAGCGGTGGCCATCCACTGTTCGGGAAGAAGAAGAGCCCGAAGACAATACGAATGTCGAAGATACCTCTGAACGGCAAAGCAGAAACCGGATGACGAGTGCATCGCCAACTACTGATCACGTAGAGTCAGCGCCAGTGCCCTCATCGCCCTCGTCGGAACTGCAAATAAAGCAGCCACACCGTCAGTCAAGCAGCCCAGGTCGAACTGCACGTTTTTCCAGATTGCTCTCTGTAGCTGGAGCCGGTGATCAAGTTCACGAGCCTCCACTCAGATCAGTATCTCCTGTCAAATCAGCCTTGAAACACTCAAGAGGAACCTCTTTATCGCCTGATAGGAGGCTTGGGCCAACTGGCCGCGTCCTACCACCGAGCGAGCTGTCAGATGGTACATCAGTGGCTTCAGACGAAGGATCCCGGATTGATACCCGGAAAAAGTCTGTCAAGGTCAGTTTCGATGATGAGGCTGAGGTTGTCAATGTACCAGCCAGCCCTCCTACCTCGCCGGAAGACTATACGCCTGATTCCCCGCCCGGCGGTAAAGCCAAATCTCGTATGGGTTGGCTTGGTGTTGGCAAAAAGAAGTCGCACGCGGAGTTTACGAGTGACGATGACTGGGATGTAGTCATAAAACCCCGGCAAGTTCTTCCATCTTTCGGTAGCATTCGGGGGACCCGAGGCGGTGCCCTCAAGAGGTCGCCAATCCCAGATTTCAGTGACAATGAGTCCAGCTCTTCGTCTGCATCTGATGTGGCACCAAGGCCGGATATGTCGCTCTCAAATGAATACTTCCGGCCACACAGCTTGAGCGTTCTGGAGCAGTTGTCTGTCAACCGCACTTCGCATACTCCGAATTTGTATACCAAGCCAGGGGCCAAAGGAGAGACCATAGTCACGGATGACGTCATTGAGAAACAGCCGTACTCCAGCATGCGCTCGGAATTGTCTGTGCCTGCTATTGCTGTCGAGCCGGCTACGCCCCCGGCAGATGGAACTTGGCACAGTGTTGACAAGAAGAGATCTAGCATGGACCAGTATAGGATTCCGGGCGGGTTCCCTCCCTCCAACTCAGACCGCAGTCTCAATTCGACTGCGAAGAAGACTAGACCCCAGGCCGCGGCGAGCCCCGTTCCAAATCCGGAAGACGTGGATACTGAGGAGGAGTCCGGTGATAGCGTCTACAGCGATGCAGCGGAAGATATGGAAGACATGGACGGTGATGGCTTTGGGTCCATCAATGCTATTGTCGACAGCCGGTCAGCCCCTAGGTCGGCGCCGACCGAGGAGAATGCAAGTGAATCTCGGGACGCTACACCGAGGCCTATCGGTCGAGCCGCCATCGTGGATAGTCAGTCACAAGATGTGACAGATCAAGCACTTGAGGAGGAGCGCTCCGTGACACCGACTCCAACCTCGGTCAACCGCCTGGTAGAGCAATCCCCTGCTTCTTCTGTTGGCCATGGATTTGGTTTTGCAAACCCGCCAGGGCCACTCCAGTTGGAAACTCGCAACGCCACCGCTCAACATGGCAGTCTTCAAGCACAGCCTCCAACGCGAACCCGGGCCGTGTCGGTGGATGTGAATGGCACGTCTAGTATGCAGGATCCTCGGCGGCCAAGCAACGATACTTCTCCGCGAGGTGGCAAGGCTAAACCGCGTCCACTGTCTCTGTCCATTACTCCGAATTTCCAGAATGTAGGAGGACAAACAGGTATCCCTGTCACTCTGCGCCGGCAATTGTCAAATGGAAGTGATTCCTCCAGCAGCTTCAAACGCACTTCTCCGCGCGGAGATCGCCATTCCATGCGACGGACACTGAGAGCCGGTGCTGCTAGTACTAACGTCCGCGTCCAATCGCCAACGCAGCGCAACGACTCTCCCCTTGAACATCGTCCTCTTTCATCCGGCTCCTCGAATGGGACAATGCGGAAGACTCTTCGAGGACCTACTGGAGCTGAGCGATATTCGTTCTTCTCGACAAACAAGAAGGCACCGCCGAGAGCGAAGTTCACCAAGGCGCCCCCTAAGACGGCGCGTCCAACTCGGTTCGAAAATTCAGATGACGAGGATGAAGCTCGGCCCCAGGTCTTCACCAGTCGATTCGCAGATTCCAGCGATGAAGATGAGCTTGGAAACAATAAGTTACGCCCTGTCCGCGGTATCCCACGTCGCCAAGGTGCCGACGACGGTGACTCAACAGAGTTGGACGATAGTTCAGAAGAAAGCCCTCAGCAGCAAGCGCCACCAGTTTTTGCATCCCAGCCAGTGCCCTCTTCGCCAGGTTCCCGCGGAAAGAATGGAATCAGTATGTCTGGAATGGCAGCTGTGGCCAAACGACGTGGCATGTCGCAGAGGGACTTGGAGGAGTTCATTATGACGCCTCCCCGTAGTCGGAAGCCAGGACTCCTTGCCCGACTTGGCATCAAGAAACCCAAGAACTCTGACCATAGAGTTCCCGAAGCTGAAGTTGAAAGCTCCTCGCGAAGAGAGACACCCCTAGAGCGGTCGCGTATGGACCTCGATCAATTACGCAACGAGGGCATGGTGAATGGGAACCACGGCGTCACAACAACCACCGTGTCTGCCGGAAATTCGGAGCCGACTCGTCCGTCCAAGTTGGTGAAGAGAAATTCTCAACGCCGGTCGACAGGACCAGACTCTTGGCCCCTCCACCCCAATGGCAAGGAAGAAGAGCCTCTCCAGGTAGTCGTGGAACAGCCACACAGCGCCCCGTCGTCTGTTCTCCGGACGCAGGATTCCGCACCGCCGATTGATGGTGCAGGTGCAGCACACAATGGAAGCGTCATTGTCAATGGCAATGCCACTCACTGTGCATCTCCGACTCCGAAAGAGACCGAGGCACCCCGCGACAGACCAGATCCGAAAATTGACACCACCCCTGAAATCACGAACCCCGATGACAATAAGATTTCGGCGCGCGACGTCGTGATCGCTGGGTCGGGACGAAAGAAACGATTTCCCCTTCTTCGGAAGGCATTCGGGCTGCGCGATTGATCATATGTCGCCGCCTGAATTGACTTCGTTTAACCTTCCTTTTGAGTCAGGCGATTGAACAAACACCGTGTTTCACGTTCTGTCCAAGCGCCTTTTAATTCCCTCTTTATATTCCTCCCTCTTTGTCTTTTCGCCCTTTTCTGTGAGGATAGACTTGCGGCCTACGATGGCTACTATTGTCTTGCCTTCAAGACCTGATTCCATCTTCGATTATATCTAATCTCTAATGACTGATATACACCCTTTGGTTTGCTTCCTTTGGCTCATCCTTTTCTTTGTTTCTCCCTTTATCTTGGCTGTGGCCTGTATTCCGCTTCTCTCGCTTTCTCGCTCTCCTTGGAAAACTTGACCTGCAACTGGGTATTGTACTCCCTCTTACACTTCTTCTTCTTCTTCTACTTCGGTGTGGCCCATTGGAGTTGTTCGCTTCCATGATACCCTCGTTTTTCCTTCCCACCCTGTATTATTGTCGTTCTTTTATATCTCCAGCTCGGTCCCTTATTATGACCCGGTGAGCTCTAAAACGAAATGTTGTGTCGTTTTAGCCGTTTTGGGACTTTTCTTTTTTCATATACTTGGTCAAGAGGGAGCACAATATGATCTAATGTCTGTTATATCTTGCAAGTCAAGTAGTAAATGTTATGCTAAGAATAACAAGCCTGTTGCGCTGGTGTTGCTGGAGATTATATTATTTCCTCTATTGGGCGATATATCATGTGAGTGTAGGTTAGATTTTGCTTGTATATAATCGAATCGACTGTAACTACCTTGTAGGTCAGCTTAGTCTTATTCATGGGTTTCTCCGTGTCTTCGCATATCAATCTGAATCCCCGTGATAATCAACAAAGACTTTTGCATCTGAAGCGCTAGACGATGGGAAGTTCTATAGTAATTATTCACAAGGATATACCCCTCCCTGTATCAAGAAGGTCTTCATTATCATGAAACGCCGAACATTCCCGTAGTTCATACTGGCCCTGCAATAATGCATCTCGAGTTACACGTTCATGCTTTCTGAATGGGATGGTGCCTGTCCGCATTCCCGCCAACCCGTCGAAGTGGAACTGGCGGTGTTGATATTTCATTCGTTCGGCGAATGATCGTTCTTTTAGAGCGGGTACATAGTCGTACAGATTGGAGATTTGACAGGTCAAATGAATCGGCAACATACCATCCTCATAAGGACAGTCTAGCCAGCTCTCAATCAGTGCATCCAGGAAGCCTGGTAGTGGTGGGAAAAAGATATTCTCCGGTGATGACTCCGCTGTCAACGGCGCATCGTCACTTAGTGAGTCGACTGCCAGGGAATATTTCTACTCTTGAGCCGGAAGAAGAACAGTTGTTGTCTGAGTAGTCGGAGAAACAAGCCGCCTCTGTGGGAGTTCCACCTCCGCACTCCCAACTGTAAGTGGCTCTTCTGAATCAATGACCCATCCAGCGCTAACAAGCAATTCTGCCGCCTCGTCAATATCTTGTACAAGGACATAAAGCTCGAACATGACTGTGGGGACACCATAGTGGTGAAGAGTATCTTTGAACCAGACGACGCAGGCAACTTGGTGGTCAAATAACACTTGACAAGGCTCATATCTTTTCTCCGTGTCGGACTTGATATGAGGCATGGCGCTCATGAACCCCATAACAGCGTGGTGCAGGTACTGATTTGATATGGTGTTGGTTAGGTGACGGTGTCGGATGACAAGAAGCGATGTCGTCCAAGGAAAGAACTTCACGTTACAACAACCCACGTGATTTGATGAGGCATCAGTCGATTGTTCCAAGTATTGATTGAAAAACGAGAGCTAACTTAGACAAGCCAATATGGAAATATGTTAAGAATTTATATGAGAGTTAAGCAGAGTAGGGTCATCACGTGGGCGATGGCTACAGAATGTCTGAGTGTCTAGTCATAATGTAGTTATGAATCTTCTAAATAAATTCATCCATTGCCTAACTTAGCTCTCTGCTTCTTATTAAGTGTCCCTGTTGGTAGCTCTGAACTACTTCTCCTGGTCGCCGCAACATTCACGTATATCACCGAAGAGTATGAAATGATTAGATAGAAGCTACATTATAGAGTGATAAGCCCGTCATGTCTACTCCGTACTGTTATTCTTGCTCCTGGAGGTACTTTTATAGCTACTTGTCCTTCCAGCTATGACACTATGAAGAGATTATGTTCCCTCATTCTTTAGCTACACCTTAGATCGACATGATTAGTTGCGAAATATATGCTTTATATGTCTTTCTAGAGTCCTTTCGGTCTCATTTTAAATCTGTACCTAGTATATGACATTCCGAGAAGAAAAGAATAGCGTTCGTTCTGCTAATTTAAGACTAGAAAAATGTCAGGCTCTGACTCCTCAGACAGGAATACTCTAATCCCTCATGAAACAGCCTATAAGATGTTAGTATGAGTATTGGGATTTCAAACTCAATATAACGAACCAATCTATAGTTCATACCCGTTTAAAATTAAAGTAGAAGTGTCAGAATTAAAGAAATCCGACGTGTAATAACAATGTAAGGGCCGGGATTTATTTAACACCACCTAGGCCTCCAACAATATGATAAATAGGTGTGGATCCAAAAGGACGGATGGCCGCTTGGCCTAATGGTTAAGGCACCCGACTCCTAGTTTATAGTGTCATCGGGAGATTGTGAGTTCGAATCTCATAGTGGTCGTTTTTTTTCGCTCTATTTCAAACCACCCACATATTGTGATTGTTGAGGAATATAGGTTTTTTTAAGGTACGAGTTTAATACTGTCGAGGGTGGCGGGGAATGAACAATTAAAGAACACTACATATGTACGTCGGTCCTAATCGGGAAGGTCCAGACTGTCAACCAACACCCACCATAAGCTTCCTTTCCAAGGGACATTTCTCAAAGGAGATTCAGAGTACGGAGTATTGAGCAAACATATATATTCTTTTTCAATTTCACGACATATATTTCGGTGGTAAATCTCGAATATGATCCGACGGGTTCTTCCAGCTACCATTCATCAGCCCAAGTAAAGCAGCATCCCTGATTCGAAAATAAGAAGGGCCGCCAGTCTTGAAATCCTCCCGAAACCGAGGTTTTTCTTTTTTTGTCGAGTTTGAAACCCCGATCCTTCTCACAGCAGGAACATTCCACTGTGCAATGGCCAACCGAAAACTGTTTCCCACCGCGACGATAGCAGCATCCGCAGTCTCTGACACAGCAACCTCCCCTCCCAGCACAATCGTCGCAAAGCACACCATGCATATACCATTTTGGTTGCGCGCGTCAATAATCGATTCCTTCAACGGGCCATCCATAAACGAAGTTCTAATCTTCCACCACTCCCGTCCTAACCTCCAATATTCCTTGGAAAGATCTGAAATCTTGATCTGCAAGTACTGAACCTGGATGCGAGTCGCTAGCTTGGGAGTGGTAGGTGCCCTGAGGAGTCCCTCGATATTCTCTCTCAAAGCCATCTCGCGTTGAGTGTTCTCTCGAAGTGCAAGTTCCGTCCGTAATAGCCCATCATATCAGCACGGTTTGAGTTTTGGTATACGTTCAACCAGAGGAATATTCGGTGTTTTTGAAGTGAGGCGATATCTCCGGATTTTTCTAGGTAAAGCCTTTTGGAGTGGTTCTCCGTATAAATATGGGGCTGTGGACATCTTGAATGTCTCGAGAGATTGAAATCAAAAGGAAAGATAGGCCTGGATGGGGTGAATCAATAACGTTAGTTTTCGTCAAGGGGAGGTACATCATATGAGTCAATGTCGGCATGGTGAGGTCAAGTCATCTCAAAACTCAGCCTTGGAATTGGGATTGCGTCACCTGAATGAATAAGTGCCTACTCCACAAATTCGTCAACAAATTGGACAAGTATATTCGTTCAGTAGAATTAAAGAAAGAGTCAAGACACCAGTCAACGCCAGAATACCCAGAACATCAATTATATAGTCCATTCCAGAAAGACATGGACATGTAGTCAACACCGATGTCGAAGCGTCAGAGACCAATGAAAACCAGGGGTATGGCGCAAAGAAGGACAAAACAAGGAGCGCGCGAAAATGCGATAAAGAAAGCCCGACATATCTACATGTAGACGCCAAAGGCAACAGCCAGCAAAAGCGGGACGACAGCCGCAGCCGACAGTTTCGGATGTAGCATCGCCGCACCCGAACCAATGGAACTGGTGGTGTACATGTACTCGAAGCTGATATCGGACGAATTGAAGCAATTGTCGCGAGTGACCGTCTCCACAGACGCATCGCCATCTTCTGCGAACTCAATGTCCACGCACTAGAAAGTCAGTATATTGATTGCCGGGTCGGAACGAGGGGACTGGAACATACATTGAATAGAGAAGCGCCGTGCTTGGCCGTCTCAACCAGCTGGATTGTGGCGTAGTCACCCGGGCTGACGGTGATATTGGCCGGCAGAGGCACCTGTGGCAGACACACAGTCCCGGGGTAAGGATTGTTGGTCGGGCCGACGATGAGGAAGGGCGGGACGACGGGGTGGCTCATATTTTCCGGGATTTCGCCGAAGCCGAGATTGACGTAGATCAGGGCAGTGGCATGGCCTGGGAACCAGCCCGGCTGGAAGGCGACAGCACCGCCGCTGACGGGCCACTTAGTTCGGTTGGTCGACCTGGGCATACCACCGCCTTGAAAAACGAGTCAGTGATTGATATCTAGACGGGTAGATAGGTCTTGCTTACATGGATAAATCCACTCCATGCCGTATGGGTAGATGTATGAGCCATTCTTCGCATCGTAGGCAACACCAAGACCGTTAGCTTGCTCGATGGTGCCGTTGGTGTGGAGATTGTTTCCGCGATAGCCAGGGTAAGTAATGACGGTATGGGCGTGCGCCAGACCCAAGCACAGCAGGAGTAGGACGGAAGCCCATCGCGAGATGGATTGTGTGAAATTCATGGTGAGATACAGCGACGGTGACAAGTTGCACGAGTTGAGGAATTATTCAGCTGTCGCCGAGACTCAGACTCGATTTCTCCGATCGCAGAATAAAAGCAGATAATAGGGAGGGCAACGGTAATAGTAAATGGACACCAAAATCATAGAAACTCCAAGACCAAGACCAAAACATGATTTTCGAGGGCTAAGTGGTCTTTTTGAGGGGTACTGACTGGCCTTCACTGGGCGGACGAGTCAAAACCCTGGAAGGCAGATGTGACCGAGACTGCATGGCGAGGCATCTATGACTGGCTCGAGGAGTGACGAAGAGCAGGGGTAGCCTGGGATCATCACAATCCGCTGCAAGTGCCATCACTCAAAGGGTGAATACTGCATGATGATTTGCTGAGCGACCAGCGGTGGAAGCGCCGAGGGGGACGCTAACGTTCGGGGAAACAACTTGAGCGCTTACAGAGTGGCTGAGTGCGCCCATAGGTTAAGTTCTGGATTGTTGGACTTTTTCCTGCAAAGCATTTCACTATTTCACCCGAATATGTAGTTCTATCTCACCCTCAGTACGGAGTAACTTCTCGGGGCCAGTCTACTTACTAAGCCTGTTGGAGTCCTGCCAAGCATTTCCCCCGCATCTCCAAAAAAAAGCTTCAATAAATCCAACCCTATACAATATCCCAATTCGTCCAAAATCCACATTATTTATATAAGTATACTTATATAAAAATATGCCCCATACATCCCACCCTTCCCGACCGAAACGCCCAACCCAAAAACGAACCCAAGTGACCGACGACGACGGCTGGACCCATGTCGCGAGCGGCGGAAACGTGCGGCGCGTAATGCGCACACGCCCGCGAGGCACAACAGCAGTCAAAGAATCCGGGACTGGGATCTCCTCTGACCAGCCTGAAGAACCCGTCCTGACTCCCGCAGAGGCACCGGGTCGACTCACGCTAAATGAGCTGCAGGCGCAGTTTCGAACTCATCGTGAGCGCTGGGAGGGTTCGGAGAGTTGGACTAAGTTGACGGGCGTTTTGGATGAACGGCTGAGGAGGGCGGGAGAAAAAGCCTCTTCTTCATCTGATGCTGATACTGCTCCTTCTTCCATCCCAGCCCGTTGCCCTGTTGACGCCGTTGTCTGTATTGGGCTTGGGAGCCCGAGTGGGTTCTTGCGTGATGGATGGGTTGATCGGCGCTCCGTGTCGCTTTATCAACTTGCTGCCCTGGCGAGTATTAAGGATCAAGTTGCTTGTCCGTTTCCCGATCCTTTGGATGGTCCACTTCTGGTCTTCTTCTTTGCTTTGACTGTCTCCATTTACGTTTACAGTATCCCACGCTAACCACAGCACAGGCACCACCTCCTCGGATATAAAAGTCTACGCACAAGACCCTGTCTTCAACACATTAGACGAATCCCTCCTCGCAGCCCTGAACATAAATGTCATCAAACACCCAGAGGCCTTCTCGCATATCACAGCAAACACACTGCTCTTCTGTCCCGGCGCAGAACGCAAACATCTTGAATTGCTGCTGCCGTCGAAGCCGTGGTTGTTGTTCGGTGGCCCGCTCGAGCATGCGGACTCTGGTGGTGTACTACAAGGCTATGTGGATGGGGCTGAGTCGTATTGTTTGCCGGTGTTTGAAGCACTTGAGCATGCGTTTTGGAATACGAGGCTCTATTGGGTCGAGGAGGTCGTTGGTGCAGAATGATATGTGTATTAGTGTTTTGGGCATTTTGGTTCATGAAAGATGCATGAGGTTATAGAATTGGTATGCATTGGATTGGCGTTGGTGTATTTCTGGAGTTAAATATCATGATCTTCCTACCCGTTTGCACCTTCCCACTAGTCGAAGTACCCACGTTCCACGTACCGTCCTGATCAGGTGCCTTCCCTTTCGGTCAAAAATCGTCACCAACCCCAATTCCCAAATTTCCTCAAGCCACCGGGGAGGTATAAACCCCCCCCCCCCCTCTCTTTTCTTCTTGCTTTCTTCTCCACACCACTCCAGTCCACATTGCACATCGTGTTCCTGTTGAGTACCCTTTCAATTTTTTGAACTTTCTTCAGCTTCAGATTCGGAAATATACGTCTGCTGTTGTCCAGTGAAGGGAAATCCTGAAGACTCTGATAGGAACTTTGCCGCGGCTCATCTAAGGCTGAAACGAGGCTGGGGCTTCGGTCCTGGTCTAAGGGCACGAAGCATGTTACGGCGGAAACCCTCCGTCTGATCTCTGCGGATACAGACCGTACTTTTCCGAGTTCTCTATTGTCCGTCAGGAGCTTAACAAAAGGATTTCTGTTCTCATCTCCGTTCTAATTTTTGGAACCTTTAAACCGAGATAGCTCTCTGTTATCTGAAGATCTTTCTGAGGACTTTTTCTTTCTCGAGGTTCCTTCCTACTTATGAATCTACTTCTATTATTGTCTTGTTTGTTACGCTCTGCATTGACTCTACAGATCCTCAGCACATATATGTTTCTTTCTTTGTTCTTTTGTTTATTCTTTCTCTTATTTACCAAATTGTTTGCTAGCTAAGTGAGGGGTTTGTTGTTCGCAGCATTTGCAGAAGTGCTAGCCAATAGGTAGGCACTTTCTATCCTAGTTATTCTGAATAGTCAGTCTGCCCTCTTTATTCATTTATAGACCTTATGTTCCACTTCTATTGTCTTATTCCTATATTCTGTACAATAATACCTGAGGGCTTCCTTGCAGGAAAAGAAGAGAATGATCAATGAAGAAAGCAAGTGGATATGATATTTTTTACAGGTAATTCCAGGTAAACCGAGATTGATGAATTGACCTAATATGTACACGGAGGCCGAGGGGAGCTGGTATATGATATACATGGAGCTAGGCGGGCAAACACAAGCGCAAATGACCCCTGTGAATATCCCATGAAGACAAATTTCCACCGAAAACATGGGTCGAAGACCATCCTCATAAATGGGAATGAAAGGAATGGACAGCACCAAAGAAGATATGCAAGGTAGAATCAAGCATGGCTCGAAGAAGAGTAGCAATTGGTAAAGACTGCAGATGAAAAAAAGACAGGAAGGAAGGATGATGGACCGCCAGGAAGGGAACCCCCGAGATTTTGATTCGAAGTGGAAAAGGTGAAAATCGAGGAAAGGTGTGAGGATGAGAGGTGAGATGTTCGAGGGTTCCCTTGTGATGAATGGTATCAGAGAAAGACAAACGCCAGTGAGCAGAAAACAATTCAGACTAAGAACACAATACTTATGCAGATAAGAGAACATTTCGTGATCATGATTCCATAAGAGAGCCAGGGCTGGATCGGACAGCACGTTACGAGGCCGTCTTGCCATCGCAGTCTGGGATCTTGATACCTGTCTTGAGCTTGCGTGCCGAGTCCATCAGACCCCATTTATCCTCCCATTCCTTCCCGGGCGTGTTGAACTGGATTTTCCATGGTTCGTCGAATGCCTCGAACCTGTAGAGTGTTAGTAATTTGAATAGACCAATGGACAGTGAGCAAGACATACCAGAAATAATCAGTTCCGTTTTCCAGCGCCGGGCAGATCCAGTCGGCCATGAAAGTGTTCATGTTCTCGATGCTGGCGACAGAACCAGGCGTGTCGTCGTCGCAGACCGAGCTATCACCGCAGTCTTTGCCGCCGCCACTGGGCCATCCGACCTCTGAAATGACCTGCGTTTTGTTCGTGCCCTTGGTCAAGTCCACATCGTGGGTCTGCCAGAAATCCCATGTCCACGCAGCAGCAACATCGACGTTGACACCGGCGAAGAAGGGATGGACGTTGGACATGACGACATCCACCTCCTCCACTAACTCAGCATTCCAGTTATCACCAAGGTCGGAGGTGGCAATCAATAGATCCAGGTTGCGCTTCTTGACCTCCTTTGTGACGTTTCTGATATACGAGATCAAGGTCGTCTCGGCAGACTGCTTGCTAGAGCCGGCACGGAAGAGGGCTTCGTTGCCGACAATGATACCCTTATAGATGGATGTGTCTTTGGTGTCGTCCAAGAGCTTGTAGAGGTGCGTGATCTGGCGTTGAGTCGTGGTGGTGTTCGAGTCAATCCAGACGCCGAGCCAAAGTTTGATATCCTTCAGCTCGAGGCGATCAATGGCATGAAGAACCATTTCAGTCTGATTGCAGTCCGTACCGTAAAGACGCACTGTATTAGTCAACTGCGACAGGACAGCCATGTCACGGGTGATATTATTCTGCGACGGAGGCCATTTCAAACAGTCCGGATACTGCACGCCCCACGGTGTGTAGTCCATTCCAGGGAAGACCTTGTGGAGATTGGTGTTGTTCATCAAGGCCTTGATCTCAGCGGAATCCTTGCCAAGGTCCCCATTGGTCTTCACATCACCGGTAGCAGTGTCTGAACTACCGGCAGCAACCTTCGACTGGTTCGCGTGATGATGGCTGCCAATTGTACCGCCCACCGCACCACCGATGATGGCACCCAGAATCACAAACCCAAGAACAAGACCAACAATCCAGCCCATCTTCTTGCGCCCGTCTATTCCGTTACTCTGTGATCTCCCCGAGGCTCCTCCGCTCTCCACCCCACCACCAGGAACCGAGTCATACGCAACATCAACATTCTTCTCTCGCCCAAACAATCCAGTCAGAATGCCACCAGTCGCGGCGCCACCAGCGGCACCCGCAGCAGCAGGCGCAGCTCGACTCCGCGGGGGCCCAAAGTCCTCATCGCCATCATCGACGATCTCATCGGGGTTAATATTCGTCATCTCACCATTGCTGTACGCGGTTGAATGTCGCTGATAGGGCCCATCAGTGATGCCCGAATAAGTCGGGGGGTATGGGTACGGGCTGTGTGCGGGATCGCTCAGCTGCACCGACGACTGACTGGGCGTCTGCAAAGCGGGCGAGGCCAGCGCGCCGCCTCTCGCCATATTTAATGCGTGGTGTTCGGCAGGAAACGAGTCCGGGCCGGCATAAGGTGAGGGCACGTAGGGTGTGTCTGAGCCGGTTGTGTGATACTCGCGCTCGGCGGGGCCAGTGAAGCCGTCGTCTATGCCGCGAGATGCGTCGATGCCGCTTTGGCGACTGTGTGTATTGGCGATTCCTAGGGCGATGCCGCTGATGCCACCGCCCGGCGAGCTGGGACCGAGATTGTCCATGCCGGGTGTGATGGTTTGGTTCTCACGAGAGGCGTGGTTATAACGATGGGTTGGAGGTAGTGGGGTGTCTGAGTCTGACATTTGGAAGGAGAAGTGTCCGGGTGGACCGGACTTTGAATAATAAAGAACTGAGGGTGAAGGAATCCCGCGAACGGAGAAAAATGCAGGGAAGGTGCCAAGGCAGAAATTTAGACTGAATGCAGCTGAATTCCGCCGAATTCACACCAAGGGATTTCGAATCTCTCCAAAAAGACAATAAACAAGAAATGTAGAGAGAAGAGACGAAGTCGAGAGTACAAAGGTCGGGATAAATAAAGGCGTTGGCCGGGACAACGGGGAAAGCTTCGATTTACCACGCTGAATGAGAATTCCAGGGCTATGGAATACTTATTTTATTATATTGCTATGATTCGTCTTTCTATTCTCCCCGTTGACGTGAACGTGGTTACAGAGTATACATTCCATCATCGCAGGGTTCTTTTCCAGGGTCTTCCAGGGTCCCATGTGGATTACAGTGGATGTGAGTCCCTTGCGTTGCTATTTTTATCTTCGGCCAACGTCAGTGTCAACACTGTCAACTGTCAACTCATTTCTCTATATAAACACACATGTCTCATTCAACGTGAATCAAAGTCGTGGTATCATCTGAGGCATATCCAGATCATATCAATCATATCTCCCTTTTGCCTGTTTTTGGAATTTGGCTGTTTTTCCGCAAACCGTCAACGCCCTTGTCGCATACCTCGGCCGGAAACGATATAAACAAACCAAAAAAAGGCAGAAAAAACACAGAACTAATAAAAAAAGAAGAAAAATGAAAATATTAGAAATCATCTCGTCACCCTTCAACCTCCTCCGCACTCCGCTGTGCAGAATTCTCCGACTCCCGACACCCACGCTCCAGGAACCGTCGCTTGCCCCGACGAGTATCGAAATGATCCGGGATATCCGTGGCGTCCTGGCCCGCAGCGATCATACTACTTCGCATTTTATCACGGTAGGCATCCACTATTCGCAAACGGTTAGCGGTGTCTCATATGTCTCACATGTCTCAGTCGTCGTCAGATCAAATCCATGGATTGATCACAAGCACGTGTGGATGTCGAAAATAGAAATCCCCCAATGGGAATTAAAAGACGAAAACTAGAAAAAAAAAAAAAAAACAAATAGACGTAGACACTCACACGATCGCTGCAAGAATAAGATCCGTCCCGCAAACACACGGCTCTGACTCCAGCTCATACGGTAGCCGAGGTCATTAAGCATCAACTCCTTGTGGTGTTTTCTGCGGGAGATCTTCGGCACGTCAATTTCAGCGTCGGCGTCGAGCGACGGCGCGGGCACGGTCGTGCGACCCACAGTCGATGATTCGGGGTCATCCGCCTGCTCGGCGTCATCGCGAAAGAATCGCTTGGCGGGGATCACACGGTTCTCGTCGCGCATCTGGATCGGGAAGTAGGTGCGCGGATAGACGGCGTTGGACTCGCGGTAGGAGTCTGGGATCTCGTCCATGTTGACTTTGTCCAGGACGACCTTGACGCGGACGCGGCAGCCGCGCTGCGGGTCATCGACTAGGATGAATTTGCGGCGTTTGCCGTCTGGGAGGTGGCTGAAGAGATCTTCGTTGGTTGGGCCTTGCTCGTCGATGTCGTGGTTGGTTGAGCCGATGCGGGCAGCGGTGGCGATGGTGTGGCGGCTTAGTGAGGTGAGGTTGTTGTCGCGCAGTAGAGGGGGCATAGAGGGGCCACTGGAGCTGCCGCTTGGGGTTAGGGTTGTTGGGGTGTCGTGGAAGATGTGGACGGGGCGGAGGTCGGGAATTGAGGGCTGTGGGAGGCGTGTGTCCATGCTTCGGTGGCCTGGGTATTCTGTGCCTATGGGTGTTGGGATAATTAGCCTACGCTGTACAACCATGTCGGGGAAGAGGTTCAGTTCCAAGAAAAGAAGAGCCAAAGCACAAGAAGCGCGGTGTCAAATGATAAAAGGTGACAAAGTAGTGAAGTTGAACAGGGTATGGAATAGAACATATAAGAACACAGGCGGACCAGGCAGGGATACAAGAGAGAGTACACATCTCATACAACCGTTGACAATCCTCACACACACAGATGGGACCTGACAAGACACAAAACTCCCCATATACACATACACACATAGACCCGGTCCAAAAAAAGCCCCAGAAGAGAATACGGGAGTGAGCCGCCGCTATTGAAAATTAAAAAAGAAAGGAAAACACCGAAAGCACAAAGTACATCACATGTGGTGAAACATACCGCTAACTTCCTCATTAGGATTACCATCAGGTTGATGATGATGATGCATCTGCGGCGGGCCCATCGACATAGGACCCAAATTCGGACGGGGAACAGGAGCCGGCATAGCATTCATGCCCGGACCAGGCGGACCAGATGGACCAACCGGGCCTTGCTGCGGCATATGAGACTGGGCGGGAACCGACTGTCTTCGATTAATCTTAGCCATACGGCGAACCCGTCTGCTGCGCAGTCTCGGGTCCTGATTGCTGTTGCGCCAGCTATCGACAGCACGCTGGATCAATCCACGCTTTCCCCTCAGCGCGGGATTCAACTCGGCCAACGCCCAGCCGACAGCGTTGCATTCTGTCTCGTAGACCAGTCGGTTCCCGCGATACTGGTCTTTACTGCAGCAGGCCCGCGGGTACACGCAGTTCTCGGTTTTGAATTCTTGCGTGAGCGTGTCCACGATGACGGATTCCACGTCACAGCGGATGGTGTATTCCGTTTTCACCCGGTCTCGGGAATATTCAAAGGCGATCCACTGCACGCCGTTGCTGTCTTGTCGCACGACCAGTGGGGTAGTGGCTGGGATGGGGCCTGGTGCTGCGCTGGAGGTGCTGCCGCCTAGTGATGGGGTTGCGTGGGGATTACTAGCAGACATGTGGTGGCTGCTGGTTGCCGTGTGGGGAGGGTTCAGCATCGATTGCTTTGAAGAACTGGGGTGGGAGGTATCGAGTTTCATGATGGGGCTGCTGGACATGCCGGACGTAGGGAGGTGGGGGGATTGGTGTGGTGGCCCTTGGGATGGAGCTTTCTGAGGAGGCATCATCAATGGCTGTGTTGTAGGATGCTGTTGGGGAGAATGGTGGGCCCCGTATGGGGGCTGAACTGGGTTCATGGGCGAGTATGGAGGATAGCCAAACATCTGTGGCGGCATCTGGGGTGACGAGTACATGTTGCGGCCATGTTGTTCATGTGACTGAGAAGCTACCGAGGCTGGTGAGCTTGATTGAGGGGTGTGGTAGATAGAGGGATAAGGTCTCTGCATTTGAGCGGTAGAGGCCATGAGGTCAGGTGGCCCTAATCCTAAAGATTAGTTGATGTCTTTAATAAGAATTAAATGGGCCAAGGGCGTCAGAAAGCCAAGCACAGGTGCGTCACTTCTCAACGCAACGATTTCCCACTGCTAAAAAGAACTGGCTTACCACTAGAAGGGTAATGTGCCGACGCCGGGGTCGATGTATAGGAAGAATGGGTGGTGTAGTAGGGCGACTCTTGAGGAGGCGGTCCGTAGTGATTATGATGGAGAACTTCGTTTCCTAATTGATGGGGTGGGGGAGGATATGTGGTAGGCGGAAGAGAGCGAGAGGGCTGAACAGGCGAGGCAGGGCCTTGCTTCTGTGGTTGAGCTAGATTTGATCGAGATTGAGGCTGTTGAGAACCCGAACGCCCAGAGTTGCCGTGTCGAAGCTGTAGCAGAAATACACATCAGTGACTGGAACTTTGATAGCCAGCCCCGAAAGGATGCCAGAAAGATACGACAAGCAAGATTCGAGCCAAAAAATGCACGGTGCTACAAGCTGAGAACATGGACGTAGGAAAGAAAGAAAGGAAACTTGTAAACACGACCAGACGTATCCAGAGTGACATCAGCATATGACCCCTCCGGTCTAGCGTGGGAATTTGAATCTTGCAGGTATGCAGAATCTCATCATAGAGGTGGGGGGTTGGGTTGGGCCCCAGATCAATGGAAATCCTCGAACAGGGCTAGCCTTAGGTGCGTAACAATTGCGCCAGGGTATAGCCGGGATAGTCCGTCCAGAACTAAAGAATAGCATGGATCTGTGTAGCGTTGGTGTGTCCTTGATATCACGAGTGGGAGTTTCTTTTTCTTTTTTCTTCCGGGGGACACAGCACTCGAAGCTGGATCATGCAGATACACGGACTTTGGGCATTGTTTTCCGTTGCTCCTCTCAATTGAAACATTTTCTTCGTAGTGAGGCTCTAGTCAGAGCAGGGCTTTCGTGGGTCCAGAAGAGATATAAACGGGACAAACTCCTTAGGTCATGGCCAACAGGCCCCAAATCGATCAGTTTTGGCATCCTGAGTTGAAGGCTGTCTGGTTGGGGTATTGACCATGGTGCTCCCACAAGATCCAGGTTGACGGAAGAGAGATAGTCGAGAGAAGAGATAACCCCACTGGACATAGAGCTGGCAACCACATATAAATGACCAAGAAAGATAGGAATGATATTGAAGTAGGAAAGATCTCACAAAAAAATCTATAGGGTAGACGGGAACTGGAAAGGAAAAAGATACCAATAGAAATGATACTCACGGGATCATCAATCGAATCTTCCTTGTACTTCGTCGCTGGAGGACCAAGGTCGGGCTGTACCATGCCGGTCATGAACGACCTCTCTCACGGCCCAGGACAGAATCTTGCAAACTTGGAAAAGAGTACAAGATGGAGAAGAAAGAACTGGGATGGGGTGCCTTTTGGGAGAAAGTGGAAAAGAAAAATTAAAAATGTAAGAACCACGCGGGCGATCCCGAACTGAGGCTAAACAGAAAGCTGCGCGACACACTAGGTGACTGGGGTTCAGGGGACCGTGTCAATGTGAAGGCAAGTGGAGGGTCCAGGGTCGTTTATCTAGCTGCACCCATCTCCATTCTCATCTTACTCCTTTCGAAGACAAACCTCGAGCTCGAATAAAAGGGCCTTGGGAAAAAGAGAGAAAAAGAAACGAAGAAAGAAAGAAAAAAGGAAAAAAAAGGAAAGAAAGAGGAAAATGGAGAAATGCAAAAAAAGAATAAAAGCCCAATAAGGAAAACCAATTTAGAAAAAAAAAGGAAGACGTCCAAGAGCAAAGCGTATCAGGATCTGGTAACTAGCGGGAAAGGTGTAATAATGACCAGGATGGATGCAGGAGGTTGCCTCGAGTCCGGTAAACATCCGAGCCTCTTGGAAATTAAATGTGTCATCAGGCTAGCCGAGATCAAAGAGAGAAATCGAGAGATAGACGCTTGGGGATGATGTGCAGACAAAGAGACGTGCAAGTGGGGAAAGGATGTGCTACGGCATGCTTTCCAGTGGGGAGTGAATCTATACAGAGTTAGGGCCAGGGGATTTGCAACGGCTTGGACTGCTCGGATCCGATGGAGCGATCGTGATACGTCCATTGGGGTATGTAATTGATTTTATATGTTGCAAAGTGTAAATAAGATCACTCTTGAGGCCTGAGATTCAGGTGGATGGTGATTGTCAGGGAGATATCCTATAGACTCTCTATACTCCGTAGCCTCTAGAATAATAGAAGGAAGAGAGCTTTTTCCTTCCTCTCTACTATAACTTATTCCGTATATACAAGGCCAATTTGACTGTCGACGTTGTACACATTGTACAAGTACTTCAACATACAAGTTACCCATCCGTTTGCCCTGACGTTAAATCGAATATCATCGACCCACCACAAAGTCTAGAATATGTACTTGACCCATGCAGATTGAAGTGTGGACCTCAGGATGGACTCGAGGCTAAAAAAGAAAGCTAGTTGACGTTGCTCTCGGATCGTGCAGAGGCCAGTTTCAGGTACGGCTTGGGCTGAGAAATTCTCGTCGGAGTATATCGAAGATCGGCGGAATAATACGTGAAAAGAGTAAATGAATGAATAAAAAAAGGAAATCAATTTCCTTCTTTTAAAGACGCGTACTAGTAAGTTACACCGACCTCTCAGCTGCTTCTTTCCACGGCCCAATTGTCTAAAGAGAAAACTCAGCTCTCCATCCAAATAAACTCGAAACAGCCTAACGGCGCCCATTTAGTATTTTCTCTCTCTCTGGGCTGAGTTCGTGGGAGTGTAACCCTGTCGATCTCACGAACTAGTTCTCCGAACGGAGTCGGCCACGCTGCTTGACAGAGATTTATAAAAAAAAACCTCCCTCTGATATACCCATCCCAGAACGACGCACGATCGAGTCCCTCTTTTGGACGCTAACGCTAGAAGAGCCATCGTTCCGTCGTAATAATAGCCAATCGAGTTGAGATTCACAATGCGGGCCAGCACCCGGGTTCGCTCTATCCCGAAACTTCTCTAGTGGCATCTTAGTCAACCTTGGCAATTTTTAATCAGCTGTGGTTCAAGAAAAAGATTAAATCAAAAGCGCAGAGAGGGAGAAAAGAAAAAAAAAGAAAGAAAAGATAGATGCAAGCCTTAACCTTCTCCCAATTTTCTCCGGTCTCTGACACCGGCCGATGCATGTCACTACAACATACAAATCCTTTCAAGCATTTTGGTTTTTGGCCCCTGTGCTTCATGTGAAATGGCCGAAACGCTAAATTAATGCCTAGGCACCCGTTTTCTATAAGGTGGCTCTTAGGTTTAATTATTTTTTATACTCTGCTACCCTTGTCATTTGTACCCTTCTTTGTACGGAATACCTCGGGGGTGGAGACCTCCCGGCACGAGTGCTCAAGGACGATTCTCGGAGGTTATTGGGCGTCCTCGGAGTTAATAACGGTAACCGTCCATGGTAACAATGGATGTTAAGTTTGATATCGAGGATTTGAGTTTGTCTTTTCATTTGTGTTCTCCCATGACCAAGGGGCGGGTAACTGGCCCATGAGGCTCTCACCTTCGGAGTACGGAGTACTCCGTATGCAAGTCTACAATGTGCGTTGATTTGATCAACAGAAAGGGGAAAGCATCGTGTCGATTGTTGCGCAGTGACTTTGCATGAAGGTGAAATGATGGGCGTACAGAAATCCAACCTCGGAGGTTTACTGGGCAATGCACAATAATAAAAATCCAAAAGAAAAGGCAAGAAAAGAAAATTCAAACCTGTCTATACTCCTTTGAGAGTGCTACCAGAATCGGGATAGCCCGTAGGTGGTCCATTCAGCTATACAATAAAGACACGGAAAAACCAGGGTTAGAACCAATAGCATCCTGCTCAATGGATCGAAGTATGGGGATTGAGTGTTCGAGACACACCTAATCTCTCAGGAACTCAAGGACTCAGCCCTGAAGGTTGGAGCTAAAATCCTGTGCACGGTTGCGCCCCTTTCTTTTCTCATTTTTTAGGGCTAAGAAACGGTGCCCATTTCCACCAGCGGCCTGCTATTGGCGTGGGCTGTGATCGATGATCCCGCGGTCTTCCGTTAAGCCGTACCCGCAGTCCCACACGGTAATTTTGGAGTCTCCAAGCTTCAAGGAAATTGTGCTGACCCACATGGTCTATGCAGGCTTGGATATGGCATGAGGTACTGTTTAGATCTACTACTTTTATTTTTATTTCTCCTATTCCTCAATATCTCAATTCAAACCAAACATGAGACGAGCTTAACCAGCCACCTGACACTACCTGTTACACACGGTGTCACTCGCCAAGTGGCTGGGGCTGACCGGGGACGCTATCGGGGACGAACCACAGGGCAAACCCCTGGGCGGATCAACCGACAATCCTGGCCCCTTTTTGCTCTAAACTGTGCCACTACCGCCCCGGATCGACTATCGACTGGGAGTGGTCCAGAGCATTGTTAGCTCTTTTAAATGGCGAAGCTCCCTATTTGTCGAGACGGGTAGGAACCTCGCTAAAGTGTGGATTCAATTTCGTTTCTCGCCGGTCTCCGTCGGTCTCGATCGCTTGCCGATCCATGGGAGAGTACGTCATGTTCGGATAGACAAAGCAAAGACCCCAGGTGGCCTGTGCGAAGGCGAGAGAGTAACACCGTTTGTATGTGAGATTGTCATCTCTTATGCGGGAGACCTACGCCCTAAACCCGATCCAGCAAGAGGAAACTGGGCCCGGGGTTTGCAGGCACTTTGTCATCAAGGGGCTTGAACTAAGCAGCACACTGACTCGAGCTACTGCTGTCTGTGGATAGTATGTGCATATCATAGTTCAAACGCGCCATCTAGCGCCGACACCCATGGGCCTGCTGGAAATAGATAGAGCAGGTATTTCCTCTGTACGAAGGTTTTATTCATCCGCCGGGCTAGAAACCCGGAGATAGAAATACGGCACGAGTCATCCGTGATCTTTTACTTAATTGCTCGATTCTTTTGATCGACAAGAATGATAGAATGATCATGCAAAACCAAGTTTGAAGAAGCAGACTCCGGACGTCCACGTTGGCCAGGTGTAACCCTTGCTTCTTGCAGCTACAGCAATGCAGACGAGCTGTCTCCCTTCACCTCCAGACCTACCTCCAGCTAGCTCAAATTTGAAATTTTCCTGTATGAACCAGCCATTCCGAATTCCGGGGAGATACGTCCTGATCGGAAACCGGGAAGATTTCGATACCGGTATGTCCGGTTACTCAATATCAACGCTCGGCCGAGCATGGAAATGGAAACATGGGTACACCAATAGACATGGGGCAATTGAGGGGCGACAAGCCACAATCTAGTAGATCGCGGGTTGAGCTGGACGGAGCGGCGAGCCAGGGAGTCAGCTTCAAGTCTTGATAGTCTTAGCCGCTTGGCGGGCGCCCATGGTTACGTTTGGCTGCGTGGATCCATCGATGTCCAGATGCCGAGGTGCCCAGGCTAAAGGCTTTCTCCTTTTTCGACCGGGATTCAACTGCCAAATTAAAGTTGGCACACCCCGGTCTTCCATCTATGCGCATATTGACCACCCTGCTTAGTCTGCTTAATCTGCAATGATCTGCCCCAGGGCTTGTAACGTCTTTATACCCTTGAAGAATCAGCCTATAATTAATGCTTATATCTTTTTTCCTTTCCTTCCTTATAGTCAATGAGAATAAAAATAAAAGAATAAAAAGAATAAAACATTCTCCGCACTCCGGATCGGATCGCCCTAAGACGGATATGGCCCCCCCTTCGGACCAAGCGGGATGAGCGCCGAGAAGAGGAAATGATAACCCCCCCTCCAAAAGTCCAAAAGAATGCACAACTCGAATATGTTGCATTGGCTCTCTACGACCTCGTTCCCACTGTAGATTATTGTATATTGTGTACCTGTACTCCGTACTTCGCACTATTATCTCAAGCATCCACCGTAGACGCGACATACATACTACCTCAGTAGTCGATGGATCGTTTAACGGCCCCACCATCCGGATCCGAAGAATAGAGCTTAGAACGTGGGATGAGGTATTTATTATTATTTTTAGCCGAGCTGTCTCGCGTCTCTGACTTTTGTGTAGGCAAGTCCGGCATAAGTTGAAGGTTATCACACCGGCCTACTCCGTTCTCCGGCCCCAGCCGCCAAAAGCCGCTGGGGGCAATCGGGGAATCGTAACCCGGGGGCCCTGATCGGATTTGGTGTAGCGATTGTATCATTTGCGTCCAATGGAAATGCAACGGGCAAAGGTGGTAAATACATCCATATTCCGTATTTCACAATTCCGGTTCCGACTGCAATATGTGGTCATAGTTAATATATCAGTTTCAGTCCGTCTCTCACATATATCTTTCGAAACAGTTTCTAGCCGAACCATAAGCAAAAGCCAAAATACCCAAAAGTTAGTTCTCACCGCAAACTAAATCTTTGTGAGCCATCCCATGTGGAGGGATGTGTTAAACCTGCATGTGGGCGCGGTAACCCGTCGCGTGGCCGGAGCGAATTGTTTCAGATCTCTCCCTGTGCTATCTTGAGGCTGGGAGTGCGTGGGAAAATGCCAAAAATTGAAATTTTTTACTATCAGTGAAAAGACACGGAAATCCCGGAGGCTGTGCAGAGATGGCGATGATAATTACCATACATACACACACCGGTCCTATGCCTGGAAATCACACCGAATGAACAGAACTGTCTACGCAATGCAACATTCAATCGCTGATCGTAGATATCCCACGTATCTAACGTCAGAGCCCCAGGCAATGATAGTAACCCGAAAACGAATTTGTTCTTTTCCTCCTATAATAAGCCCAGGTATACTCCGTTGGTGATAAGCACTGGATCACTGCCGGGGGTCCAGAGTAGATCGCAACTAATTCAGTCCTTCTCCCCGGCCGCATTGATAATCCAATGACACAATCGGGGGTCAAGGTCAGATGTGTCAAGATGTCGAGAGGCGGAGGCGGAGGTAGGGGGGTCAAGTGAGCGCGTTTATATTTGCTTTTTACTTTTTTGCCCCCATGTGCCACGACGATCTTGGACGAGTTCGGGATGGTTGCACTTACACCTAGTCAGCCAATCTTGATTTTTGTACTATGTTGAAGACGAAGGCGTCAATGCAATATAAAAAATTTCTACTAAAGTAACTAGTTAGTTAACGATTGGACTGATATCATACTCAGTCCGGAGATACTCCATATGGAATACGGAGTTGCGGAGTAATCGAAAAAAAAAAAACAAGGATAGGATTAGAAATTAAAAATCGCGTCGTGACGTTAGGAGATCGTGTTAGGGATCAGCAAGTTCCTTTAGGTTTCATCTTCAAGACGGAGGTAAGCACTGTATATGGACAATAAAGCAATTGATTGTAATAACAAGATCCTTCCCGCCAGTCAAGCTCTGAGCCAAACCAGCTCTCCATCTTCCTTGATTTGATTCATATCGAGATCGACCAAGACTCGGTAGCTTAGCTATCATATATCATACGCTATTACCCAGAGTTCGCTTCATCCAAGTGAGATCCCGTTTCCCCCACCCCTCGCCACACCCATGACTCGCGCTAGATGGCTCGTCCATTCAGTCAACGCTCGGGCGGTTGGTTACCTCGATAGATCTCGGTTCCTCGAATCGGATGTGATTTTACATCCACAGACCGCTTGCACGGCAATGGAAACTACATCGTATACCGTGAATCGTATACTCCAGTATGCAGCATAGCAATGACGCTATACGACATACTATGTACAATGCTTCTTAGCTTTAGCCTTGGCCTTTAGTTGTTGTTTACATGAGGCATACTAAATGACGCATACTACAGACATATACTTTGTATACCACCCATAATCTCGGCGACTTTGACACCGATGTGATGAGAATGTCTCCGACGTGATCCAATATCCATTAACTTTGCTATAACCGTTTGGGCAGGCGCTCGTGTACGCTATACGGAATGAAAAGGCTATGAGTACTTAACCAACACTAATACAGTCATCGATGCTAGGATGCAATGCGTACATACCTGTAGTACTAAGGATTGTAACCCTTAGTACGGAGTACTCCATACGTCCATCCCTATATTCTGCTCTTACTGTTCTATTACTATTCACTGGGCAAATTGCAACTACAGCAAGGGGAAGTAGGTGGGACGACCTCGAACAAACATGGGAGGGGTAATTCATTTAATATTGTTTACAACATATAATCTTGACTAAATATGTACAAGGTACAGTATGAACTTGGAAGTATTTGCTTTACTCCGGATACTCCCGCACAGTATGAACCCGTTAAGAAGTCTGTAGTTAGATGTGCGATTTTATGCTTCATTATAATGCTAATAACCAATCGATATCCCCGCTATCACCAGAAGAGCGTCGGTGAAATCCGACAAGAGCCTAAATCTTTGCTAGTGGCGTATGCCTAGAACCTGCAGCCCCTATGCAACTACGATAATCTAGGGAGTAAATGCCTCCCCATTTTACTTCTGCTTTTCTGTCTGTTTCCTCACTGGGACTAGTAGTTTGTTTTCTTTTTCGACGATCAGACATGCAATAGGAAGGGTTTGGATTTAGACGCTGTTGGATGATCCCTGGTGGAATGGTAGACAGACACTACTTCAAATGTAGAAAATGAAAGAGAAAGAAAAAAAGAAAAAAAAGGAAAAAAAGAAAACATTGCATCTTCACACAATTGCATTCGCAGGTGTGGCTCTTATTTGCTTTTTGCTTGACATTTCCCCCTCCTGCGCTTTGAGAAAGGGCGCTTGGCTTGTATTTCCTTAGCGCTCTTGTGCTCTCTGCACATACCAACCAACGAAAGAAGTAAATATTCAGAAGTAGAGAAGCCTAGCTTCAACTATACTAGTTATCTTCTCTTCCTCGAGATAATGTAATGATATGACTACATCTGCAGACCCCACTGTATGGACTGATCCAGGAATATGTGAGTGACACAGAAGACGAAAGAAAAGGGAAGGACACGGCGATCCGTCCGAGCCGCACGACTCGACGCCAGACTATTGTTCGTTGTATTCAGTCCAATAGATGACTATAGATGCGGGCGTCGGTGCCTAGCGATTGATCATCGTTGGGTTCCGGAATGGAAGATGGGGGCCTGATTGGATCGGAGAGAACCCAGCGGCGTGTTGGGCTGCATACGCAGGCGTTGTTGATCTTGGGCGTCCTGTCAACCAATATGACAGGTGCGTACGGAGTGCATACAATGCAGTCATTGATGGTTGTGGAGGCGGTGTAAGTTGAAATAACCTGGAAGAGGAAAGAGACGACTCGAGTCTGAGATGCGTTTGTACGGAGTACAGTGGGTGGCGCGTAAATTGGACGGGTACTTGCTTTTGCCTGCAGGGGCTTGTCGCATGGTCTTCGTCCCAGAAGGATAGGTGCATTTGTTAAAGCCAACATGAAAACAAACGAATTCCTCGCCCCTGTACACTTCGCGAACGCCATTTTGGTCTCAACGGACTAGGTTCTAGTCCCAGGCCTTGCGAAGGATATGCAAATCCCGAGCTATCGAAAGATTTTCCTATGCCGGTGCAGCAGACGAATTGTTCACCCGAGGCCTTTCAGCCTCCTGCATTGAGTTGGTCGACGCGCGTGGGCGCGACGGCAAGGACATATTCTGTGCGGATGGTGCAGGGGCTGCTTCGAGCTGCTTCCAGGGCTCTTCCTCGCCCTCGTCCTCGTCGTCGCTGGAGGACTCGTCGCCTCGGCGGCCGTGGCGTTGATGCTCATCTCTGGACTTGCGTCTCTCGCGCAGCTGTTCCTTGTGTCGGGTATCTATGCAATAATGGTGAGTATTCTACTTCAAATGTGATTTCAGGATATACACAGCAGCGTAACTTACCTCTGATCTCCTGTGTCTTCACAGCATACAGCTGGATCTCCTCCTTGCTCAAAACCCTCAACACAATCACATAATCCGACCGCTCCTCGAACCGCTCATTGCCCATTTGTAATGCCTCGGGATTCACGAGCCGTCGGTCGATCTTCGTCCAGCGAGCTCCTGGCGGGATCCCCTGCTTGTGAGCATCTTTGAGGGGAGCGACCCCCTCCCTCACCGGATTGGGTTCCTCTGGGAATGCCGGGCGCGGAGGCTTGAGAATTCCTTTGGGAGGACCCTCTGGCTCCTTTGGAGCAGGTGGATCAACAGCAATAAGTCTTCTGGGGTCATCTTTGGCCATGTGCTCGTTGCCATTCTCCAACGTGCGGCGGGAGCGAGAGCGGTGCCCGCGGGAGTGGTCTCGGTCTCTATGGCGCGAGCGGTCCCGGTCGCTTTCAGTGTCGGTGCTGCTGTGCGTGCGACGTGCGGGCTCACGCCTGTAGTTTTGCAGGTCTTCGTCCGATGTCCCGGCGTCATTGCTGTGCGCCCGCCGGCTGGAGGATCGCCGCGATCGACCGTGGCGATGGGCATCGGCAGGGTCCAGGTAGGCTTGCTTGGTTCTTTCATCGGCTGGAACTGCTGCTACCAGCTCCCGCGATGGGGGCTGGACGGCATCATGGCCACCGTGCGAGCGTCTGTGCTTCCGCCGCGACGAACGATGCGGTTCGTAGTCCGACAAGTCGGAGTATGCGCCTCCTAAGGCCGCTGTCCCAAGTCCTACATTAGCGACCGTGCCGACATCATGTGGCTTGAGATGGTGGTCTTCTGGATAGTGGTGCTCCCGATCGTTCACGTGGCGTGCTCTGTGGACACGACGGCGCCGCTCCTCGTGACGAGAAGGGTATTCGCTATCAGAGTCTTGAGGTACGGCGACCAGGGCTTGATCATGAAATCCATCCTTCGATCTGTGCGGGTCCCGATTATCCTTGCCGTGTGTTGAGCTTCGCGGCCGTTCACGCCCGAGCTTGTCAAGGCCCCAGGATGTCGGGGGTGGGCCACGGTGACGGTCTTTCCGCGATTTCCCCTGAGGGCTTTCTTCCACGCCAGTGTAACTGAGCGGCCGATCGGGCGAGTATCTCGGCCCGCGATGACGGGGCTTGACCGGGTAGTCCCGGTCGAATTGCTCACGAGCGTTGGTGTATGAATAGGCATCAAAGTCATCGATGTCATCACCTTTCCTTAGCCCATCGTACGCTGGCTGGCGTACTGCACGAGGCGGATGGACACGGTGTTGATGACCACTATGATCAGTCCTAGGTCTGGGATCATTCCGTAGATCCATATAGCCCGTGTCGCTCGCATAGTCGGTGCTATAGATCCGGCGATGTGCGGGGTTCCGAGGGGAAGCCGAGACTATGTGATGGCCGGAATCTGTAGCCAGAGGACTCGGGCTACGGCGCTGAATTGAGTGGCGCACCGGCGAGATATGTTGAACAGATGCGGAAGGTACGGCCAGACGAACTGGTGTATGGTAGTCCGCTGTCGTTGCTGTATTGCTTCTGTGCCTATTGCGGGGTTGGATGCTGTATTCGGTACGTTTTTTGGTGGACGCACTCGGGTCAAGAACTCGATGGGAGGATATTTGGTAAGCTTCGAGTTTCGATGGTCGCCCTGACCGGTACCCCAAAGCACTGGAGTATCCAGTATCGGACGGGTAGTCGTAGTCGGAGCGCCTGGGTGCATCATAAGGGTCGTAGAAGGAGTTTAGTTCTACCATTCCGGTTGACGCTCTCATGGGTTCAATCAGGGAGTGTCGGTCTCGGCTGGGAGATAGATTCCGGTAGCGACTCGACATTTCGATATGCAACTGTAGATTCAATGGGTGCAGATGATAATGCTTGGCCGGTTGAAATCAGGTGTGACGGTCTGTTCTCTGGTCGGCTTCGGGAGATTCTGAGTAATTAAACAATCTGAGTCGGGCTATGTAGAAATGCCCAACTGGTTGGCTCGGAGGCGAAGATTCGATACAAAGTCGAGAAAGTCGGGGCCGAACTTGACACGAAGCTTGGAGCCCAATAGTTGCCCAACTGAACAATCAAAGAGGGGATTCAGAAGTGTGTTAAAGCGAAAGGTGTGAACAATGACGCAAAAGTGGGTTGGGGATCCACAGGTTGAACAAAAGGTTAGTAATACTAATAACGCCAAGGCTTTCCCGGGCTGAGTGGGCGAGGAAGGAAGTTGCCCAGGTGGACTCTGGAGATGAAAGAGAAGGCAAATGTAAAATAAGAATAATATAAGAATATGTATATAAATCTGATTCCATGGATCTAGAGGCGTGAACCTTGGGAACTCGAAGCTGTCAACCATGGATGCCATGGATGCCATGTGTTGTTCCCGCTCTTTAACTATGAAACTCCCTTGCTTCATATGCAAAACACAACCCCGACAGGCGGAAAGAATGCTCTCTTTCATTTCTGTTTCGGGCAAAATCTGAGACATGTGTGGGTTTTAGAAATGGGGTCCACAGGTGCTTTGTGATCTCACTTGAGCCGCAAAGGGAAAGTTGTGAGTTATGTATTTTGAAATCTCGAGGGGGAAACGTGGATATAAATCCCCTGGATTATGCTTTTTTTATACCTAACATTTGCTCCCAACTTAATTAATCTACAGTATAGAGGCTGTGCAATTGGCCGAATTGGCCGAATTGGCTCCATGGGAATGAGGTCATAGATGGAACCACCCTAATATCGATCGGTTTAGGCAACTCGAAAATGGCCTTGACTTGCTTAAACATCCAGGGCTTTGTCTGGACATGACATCCATTGCACTATCTTGACAAAGGCACATATTTGGGATATGTCATCCACAATAATCAAAGCAACGAATAAGGGCTATTGAAAAGGGCGAACAGGCGAACCGAGCCCACTGAGCAGGGCGAATCCCCCATTCCGATTCACCCTCGTACACCGCAGGAACGAGAACCAGAAGCCCCAACCGAGGCGCAGACTCCGCATAAGAAACCCACACGATCCAATTTGGGCTATGTACTACCATTCAAGGTCTAATAACCCAGCTTTTATAGTATAGACTCCACCCGGCCATCGAGTAATAGAAGCCCTATATCTACATATCCACCCGCGACCCGGGTAGTGCCCAGCCAGCATTGCGCCTAGCAACCCACAACCCGGGCACCGGGGCGTGATATTTTGCGTCGGGATCCGGGAATACCAGAGATCTACATGGTTTAGTCATATGTTTACTGACTAACTTAGTTAGCCAACTACTATGTAACTTATGACTAGGTACACACTGTAGTCTAGAGAGGTTCGGGTCATGATGAGGTTGTAAGCGTGTTATCCTTCCACATCAAATATATGGGCGTGGAGCCATGCTGTTTCTCTCGCTCTGGCTGGTCCCGCTTTCGCTTCACTGCTGCTTAAACACTGCCGGCTGCTGTTTGCTGTGCCTCTTTGCCCGCTGGGTATTCTGTTCCCTATGCTGGGGTTTCGACTCTGTAGTTGTGGCTCTTTGGCTGTTTGACTCTGGTCTGTTCACCTCGGGTTTCGCGTGAGCTTCTATACCTGGGCCTTGGGTGCTGTAATGAGAGCCCTGATCATGGTGTCTGTGTGTGCCATTTGCATTATAAGAGTGAGTCTTCCATGGCTGCTTCTCATACAATCAGACTCAATTGGCTTGATATACCTAAATCTACAGTTTCACTCCTTCAATCAACTTATTCAATCAACTCGTTCAAAAGCTTCAGAACCTCGCAAATCAAACCCCCATAGATCAAACTATCTCCTTTGCCAATCAATTCTTCTATTCCACACTAAAGCCACTATATCTGCCCACGCCATGTCCAACGCTATGTCCAACAAATCCTCGAATACCGGGACCAACAGTGAAGGACAGAATTCAACTCCTTTTTCGCACGGATGGCACTTCACCCGGCCTAACAATTCCTCTTATGCCGATTCCATGAGCAGTACGCTGACATCTCACGCACACTCAACTCTGGCTCCGTTCCCGGATGCCATATCCGTTCTTACTCCCACACCCGAATGCCTGTCGACAAGCGCCCAAAGACTGGTGCCGGAATGGTGGACGTGCTGCAAGTGCCAGAATTTAGTCAATCCCAACCTGGCGCCAGAGAGGAAATGTCCTATTTGCTCCCATGTTGAATGCGACTTCTGTGGCACAGAGGTTGTTCCCTAGGGAGATAGATTATGTGGGAGATAGAGATTTGCGGTTTTAGGGTTGTGTTTGCGTTTATTTCGTCTCTTTCTTCCTCTCTTTTTGTGCGTTTCTTGCCTTTTCATTTTATGTTTTCTGTTTCTGTTTGTTTATTGTCGCGGGACATTGTGGCATATTAGGGTGTTAGGCGATATACTGTAAACGATTGTCTCGTGCTGATCCTGGATAATGTTTGAACATTGTGTCGCTGATGTCAACAATCTGTCTGTCCAAACGGGACATACGAATACTAATGAGTGATGCAGGATATAGAGACTTAGTTATTTGTCTGGAATCGGAGGATACCCTGGAATAACCAAATATATATATCCCATTTACCACACATAAAGCTGCCATATCATACATGCAGACTTCATATGTTCTCTCATTCCAATATTAGTGATCGCTAAATGATCGATTATGAATAGTTATAAGTCAGGATTTGTTTACTTATATTGAGTAAAGATCACCGAGTTAAACGCTCCAAACGTGTTATTTTCGCGGAAAACCTTGGTTTGTCTGCCATCTCATGGCTCACCTTTCTAATATCAAGATGTCTATGACCTTGGGAGGCCTGTACGTGATAGCGACGACATTTAGCCATACAGTTGCCCGGCAGGGGGCATCACCCTATCGGAATATAAATCATCCTAACACAGCCAGGCCGGCCAATAGTGCATCATTAATGGAGATACATTGCATTAATTATAAAGTATCCAAAACACGCACGAAGCACCCTAAGCGCCCCGAACTATTGATCACTAGGAGATTGTTGCCGGTGGTTACGTCCTGGGTGTGGGGATTGCGGAACAGCCCCGGTTTCGGGCGGGGTTAGTCCAGCCTCAAGCCGCAAGCGGGTCACCACGGGACCCAGGGCAAAATAACTCTCCATGCTACTATGGTCAGCACACGGACTCTGCTTGATCGGCAGCAGCCAATCGACGATATTGTATCCCATGATCTGCTGGAGATTTTTCAATGAACTGCCTAGGTCGAAGGGATTCTGGCCCGGCAAAGTATGGAGGATGGCGAAGACGTGGCGTTCGCCCGGAACCACGTCTTCGTCCGGAGAGGGGATTGTGGTTTGCAGCTGGGTTGGAGACGATGATGTTTGTAGTGGGTAGGAGACCATGCGGAATGTCGGAGCCCAGGGGGACTCGGCTGCCCAGAGTCGTTCGAGGAGGTATTCTGGGACACGGATGGCGAGGGTCCAGACGACGCTGCCCCGATTTAGGTTTTCGATTGTTGTGATGTTGGCGACGCCCATTTGAACTGAGCTCAATGTCATACCGGCGGTGAAGAAGGCGAAAAGGCCGCTCCTGGTTTTTATCAGACTTGCTCAATTCCTAGTATCAAGTGGGTGGGCACTTACAGTCCAATACAGACACACCAATGAGGGTTTGCTCCTCCGGTCTGGTCGAAAGTCAGTAACAAGCGGAGAATTGATATGGCTCGTGGAAGTCTTACCTGGCGTCGGATCTCCGCTGTAAAATAAGCGGACACAATAAGAACAAAGGTACAAAATATGCTAGTATAAGCAACGAATTGAATGAAGAATTTGAGGGATGTCTCCGACACCACACCTCCAACCCTGCATTCTGTCAGCTGGATACTGATTTGCGGTATGTGCACAGGGAGTATCATACCAAGGACAAAAGTGATCCATTTTGCGCACACAGCGACCTAATTCGCGGCAGTGGTGCGCCCGGTCTGTCTTGTACTGACAGCACGTAGTGCACCATAGGGGCCGGCCATCCTCCTGGCAGACGAAGACATCTTTAGTGTAGAAGCTCTCCAACCCAATATCTGACTGCACGGCGGTGCCTACAGCAGTGGAGTTTGAGCCCCTTTCCACATCCATGTCTGCCTGGTTTGTCTTCTCCGGATCGGCTTTGCGTGTGCCTTTCTTCCCACGGCGCTTCGATTGCTTTATGCTTTCGTCATCGGCCAATTTTTGTTCACCGAGGGGAAGGTATCCGGGATTCCACAGGACTTGATAATAGAGTCGCATATAAGAAACGACCATGGGAATTAAAAGGACGTAATAGATCGCGATGATCGCGGCGCCAGCGCCGACTCGTGGGCCTCGGTTATAGGAGGGTAAGGGATGGATTAGATAGTCGACTGGGGTTCATATTGTTAGTTTCCTGGTAAAAAAGCGACCGAATTCGCAAAAAACTCACTGGATAACGGTTTCGTGACCGCATAAGAAGCGTATATGACAGCGCCGAGTAACACAGGCGGAATGAGCCTGGATACCACGACGTTGACGCGCTTCTGCGCGGGAGACGCCATAAATACGGAGTCAATACAGCAATATGAAATGCATGAATTTAATAAATGTCTAAATGACCTCGGTGGATTGCAAGGACGGATCGAGTCAGGGAAGTCGTTGAAGCAAACAGTGCAAACCTGACGTAATCGGAGCCCAGGCGCCCGGGTGTCCGTGTCCCTGGGGTCCCAAGGTTCGTTGCCCGTTCGGGGGTCCCATGGATCGGGGCATCGGGAGAACCTTGAAACATCCCCATATTGCCTTTTCACCAACGACCTCAGCTACCGTGTTGATACGGGAAATGTCGGGCCTACTATTGCTAATTCTGTAGATCTCAGCTGCGACCGTCAGATAGGGCCTGGTGAGCAATGTCAGATCACCTCATGCTCTAATCTCTTTTTAGATCTCGACGGTGCTACGGTTGTACTCGATATGACTCGATATAGTATCTAGGAAGGCACACGGCATGGAATTTCTACGGGCCCACGGGGTGAGAATTTAGATTAGAAATCAGCCTTCGGGTTTCACAGCATCTCGTAATCTGTTAATCGTAAGAAAAAAAATACCCTAAACGACAATGATGAAACTGATTTTTCTTCATATTCAGAGGCTGTCAGAAAGCCTGCGTAGGCAACACTGCGAAGGGCGCGACAACACCTGACTCGATGACTCTTCGTTTTGCTTTTCGAAGCAGCCGGTGCCTGGAAAACTAGGAGGGAGTGGAGTATATCGCACCTTGGAAACCAATTGATCAACATCATTTACATACCAAGGCATCAATCCCAAAAGAGATCCGACCTGATGGTAGACCGTTAGTTCGGCGCACCCGAGGGACCAGAACCCGTTGACGCCTATACATTCTCGGGGTAAGCCAGGCCATTGGAGACGGTGTGGGCATTTGCTTAGCCTGGAATAGTGGGCCCGTTGACTCAAAAGACCTGTTCTTCAGATATGATTCATAGATTCCTCACATTCTAGGCGCAACTGTGGTGTCCTGGGCAATGACAGCCCCGGATTACACTAAGCCACACTCTCTTGGGCAACCCATCTCGCCGGATGATGTACAACTAAGGTCAACTTTGATCCATTGCCCCAATTACTGCCCGGGTAATGAATTTAGCTTAACCCGATGTGGATCTGGCAAGGCAGCCTGGGCTGTTGACTGTTCTAGGAACGCTGCCTTGCGCTTCTGGTTCTGTTACATCTATTCTAATATTCTTGAGGTATATAGCTTTCACGATCCCCAGGCTTGAAATCCAATTCCATTTCAAACTCAATTAGCATCCAAGTATCAGTTCAGACACGGTTCCCGCTCTACAACTATAAAGAATCGGACACTCTGCTTTCCACCCAGTCTTCCATTCTGTCTCGGCCACCAATACAATCCATATTCATCCAGCCCATAACATCAATGGGGTTTTTGTGGTACTGCTGCGACTGCAAGTTTGGTCCTCACGATTCCGCCCTCTACATGGCCTGCATCGAGTGTGGAAAGCCCCGTTGCTCTCGCTGCATCTGTGACAAGGTCTCCAACAATATGAGCGTCCACTCGCACTCCCACGACTGCAATCCAGTCTCTGCATACCCAACTGCTGTTACCGTGCACTCTCCTCGCACACCAACATTGAAGACCACAGCCATGCCCATAGTCGTACCAGACCTCCCTGGTCTACGGCCTCTACGGCGTGCCGACTACACAGACCTCTCAACAACACCACTACCAGGGACGAGGTACAACAGTGCCACCTACATGTACATCTGCTGTGGATGCGGAGACGGGCCTAAAGTCTACAACCATCAGCCCCAGTGTGTTCAATGCAGCCACATTGCCTGCAGCGAGTGCAAGCGCATCAAGTGAGACTTTTTGAAACGCCATCTTGCGGGCCGAGACTGGGTACTACGAGTACAATGGTAAGTGACTCCGATGCTCACTCAGCGTTTCGGTGATTCCTGAAGCTGACGGCTCGGCATAGTGATTCCGAACTCTGTTGCTTTTTTTGGATGATTTTCTTTTTTTCTTTCTGGAATGCTTTTATGCAAAGCGTGCAAAGCGGGTCATGGGTCATGGGTCATGGGCATATATCCTGGTGTAAATGCTTCTCTTTTTTTTTGTTTTGTTAGACTAGAATTTTGTATACTTGCGGGTTCCTGATTTGGGTTAGCGTGAGGCTAGCGGGGCTGGATTCTCCGCTGTTCTGCCTTGTCCATTTTCATTTTGATTTTGATTTTGATTTTCACTCTCATCTCATTTTGATACAGCATCAATATCATCACTACATTTCTTTTCTCCTTAGATGCCAAGGTGTAGAGTCATCGTGATCTTCACGGCGTGCAGCAACCCCCTGTTCTAAGCACGGCCTCGAATTATCCAGTTGTCATGGTTGGTTGAAATGATTTGCGGCTCAGCCGAAAATGGACCCCGATATGCTAAGTGATGTACTTTGTATGCATGTCAGGATGAACTAGCTTCTTTTCTTTTCTTGTTACCGCTCCTTGAGCCTGGCATCTGCAGCAAACAGCCCTATGGCTCATACAGAGAGAAGCGGTCTTGGTTCTCGGAGGCTAACACAAACGAAGTCTATTCCCCGTTGTTCTCCGCTTCTTTGGCCTTTGCATCTTTGTTACCCTTTTAGTCCTCACCTATTATTTAGGGCTTATGTCTCTACTCTGACACAGACTCAGCCCCCTATGGCATGCTCTATGATGTTATTCCCACTCTCCCCGTATCCAGCTCCCAACTTAGTCATTGTCGTAGCCCCCACCTGGGCACTTACTTTCCCTTCTCGACGTTGAGGCTGTGCTGGACTGTGCGCCCCGCGGGTTTGGGTTCCCTTCCAGGTTTCTATGGACGCGCTTGTCATCCCAGTAAATCCTTAAAGATGCAGATTACTGCCATATCCACAACTCATCCCGCTTACTAGCATTTCGCTTGGCATTTTCCTTAGGTTTTCAATGCTCGCCCGGTCACTGACTTCACTCTCGGGCGCAGGGTGCGTGATCTATCTCGGGCTGGCCATGAACCTACGATGTACTCCGTACGTCCATACAAGAAGAGGAACATAACCGAAAACGAGGAATCCCCGGACCAATCAGCAAGAATCTGTCGAATCCAAGACATTTAGTCCGCTAGATCTGCCTTGTCCTGAGTCAACTCGTATAGATCTGTTTCTGGAATAGGGACAGGATGTCATGGTTACATTCTTGATTAGAAGAGAGATAATATTAAAAATATCACCCCGTATACCATACTCTATGACTCCGTACACTATGACTATTACTATTATTATCTCCGAATATCTAAATCTTGAAACTGTCACACCAGCCCTGGCCCCATCTCCCCGACCGGACTCTGCGTGCTATACTTAGCATCCACCAGCCGCAGGAACCCACATTTTGTTTCTTGTTCTTATTTTTCTCACTTTGTATGGGAAATGGGTATTTCCTCCGGATTTGGCTTTTGGATTTGACCTTTTTTTCTTGTTGCTCTTCTCAGCTCAGTTGAGCACGGCTGAAAATATGCATCTGCAGTATATTTGGGTTGTGGAGTTCCCTGAGCTGAAGGGTTTATTCTATTTTACTTCACGATATGTTCTAATCGAATGAATTAATGGTTTTAGCGTGTTTTTACTCATACGCAATCTATGCCAGTTGCGAGGTCATGCTTACTTCATTACTACCGAAGATACAAAAAGAACAATGGTTGGATAGAAAAAAATACATATTGACTGATTGCTATGAATATGTTCCGCGAAAAGCTGCCGAGATTCTAATGGTACAACCGCACCCTTCGGTGGCAGATTAGCAGTAGCCAGAGTTGCCTCAGAGCAGAGACTGCCGAAACTGCCAAAGTTACGACCAGCAGCTGAGATGCAGATGCCCTAACACCGTTTTTGTCGGGTCCAATGGGCAGGCAAGAGCCTAGATTCAACAAAAAAAAAAGGGAAAAAGAAAGGTGACCCCAAAGACCGCGAGCCCCCAAACGCGTAGATCAAATGCATTGGAATGCAGGGAAGAAAACGCCGAATCGGCTAATGATGCAGAGGAAAAGCCAGGTCATGAACGCGAGACCCCTAAAAAGAGGCGGTGGCATGGAATAGTGTAGATGGCGTCATGGCCATGATGAGGATTGTCCGAGTCCATGTGGTGTGATGATGTTTTTCCCCCACCATCGAAAGAACTTCGATGGTGGTGTTCACAAGACTGGTAGAAGACAGCTCACCTGAAGAGGACACTGAAAGGGTCCAATGAATGAGGGTGGGAGAATGTTACAGGGACAAGACACGCGACGGGTCTTGGAGGAAGCGCCTACGGTATGCGGCTATCTCGGAGGCCACAGTGTTGAAATCTTTCACCTTGTCACGCCGTAAGTCGTTGATGATCTCTTTCAGACCAGCGAGATATTTTTCTTTTTCTTCTTCGGTTTGACCCTCTCGGACAGAGCCCATCTGGACGAGAATCTTGTCGTCTGTCGAGGTTAACGGCTCTGTGGTCAGCATTCGAACAGGGCAAAAAGGACACGGCAATGAGTGGGAAGGAAGTAGAGGCAGAGATAGAGACGAAGGCAGTAGAGCAATAAACAGAAAGTAAAAACAGACTAGATAGTGCAATACGCCGGTGGGGGAGCTCGAGGACGAGGTGGGGTGTTGCACGTTGTTCATGTCGACGCACCGCTTAGAGTCATGTCCCGAAGATGCTGAAACTCGCAGGATCGGTCATTGCAGACACCCCCGGCCAACTCATATGGACACATGTATTTCATGGAATCGATATTATGACTGTAAGTTAGCGAGCGGTAGCCACTCGGAACGTCGGCGGCATAATGCGGGTGGTATCGATAAGCCTTGAAGGTTCGCAGTGGGCTAGTGTACGGCGTGAATCTTTGCTCCGAAATGGCGGACGATGTTTCAGTCTAGATAGGGGTCAGTATGGGGTCACCAAAAACTTTTTTTAGAAGGGTAGTGTTCATACGCCAGAAGCGCCAACCTGCAAATCCGACCGACGTAATGAGTCTGACACCTGAGGTGTGCTTGTTAGTTTTTCATCAGCTTGAGCCAAGTCAAATGATGGTGCCGAAACTCCTGTGTTTTCTACGAGACCGGAAATAGCTGGACTGAATGGAGGAGGGCTGTAACTGGAGCCCTCAGACTGTGCGTCAGCATCAGGCTCTGGGGGCTCATAACCGTCGGAATCCGCAGACAGTTCACGCTGAGATTGTTCGCTAAGCTGATTTTGGGAAACGTGTTCGTCGGCAGAATTGGCACTAGGGTGGGTGATAGCAGAGGGAGAGCTCTGAGATACAGATCGCTCTGAAGAGTCAATCTCCATAGGCTCTGAGAATGACGGCACAGTAGCAGGGTCGACATCGAGTTGCGCTGGCGAGGTAGTAGGTTCGTCCTCACTCTCGCTGGACGAATCGGAAATATCACTGCTGCTATCATCAGATTCTTGCATAGCTGACCTAGCAGAATCGGACTCGAATGAAGCCGATGTCTGTGCGGCGCTATCGATTACACCATTTGCCACTTCTTCAGCAAAGGCTTCTTCCAGCGGTTCTCGGTTGGCAGCGGCCTCGGATAGTGCATCCAGTTGGGCAAGGGGCGCAACGGGCATAATCATATCAGGTGCGGCCGTTGTCGGTTTCGTCTTTGAAGAATCTGAATAATGGTTAGTTGAAACGCAAAGTTTTATCTCGAAAGCACTTGAGAATGAACATGTCATAGCAAGAGAGAGAGAGAGAGAGAGAGAGAGAGAGAGAGAGAGAGAGAGAGAGAGAAAAGAGATAGAAAGAACTTTACCTTCTTCAGAAGAAGCAGCGACCCCACTTGATTGCCCACTGGATTGTCCACTGGATGATGATGCCCCAGAGTCATCTAGGGTGCGAGGTGACTGGGCTCTACTGGCAGCGAGCTTCGATTTCCTTCGTAGCTCCAGCTCCGCAATCTTGCGGCGCATAGCTTGAATTTCCATATCTTTAAGTCGAATGTCTCCTTGGTCACTTAGACTAGAAGGGGCTTGTGGTGTAGCCGTCGAAGCCCGGGTGACAGGAGGATTTAATTGGATAGTAGGCTTGACCAAAGCCGAGGTCACTATCGGGGCTTGTTCCTGTTCTGAGCTCGAATCCAACTCCATGTCATCGTCCTCATCATCACCGTAGAGCGATTCATCGTCGCTAATTGCAATGATGAGCTTATCAGTAGGGTCGAACCTATTCGCAGCGTGGTTGAAATGCTTCTTCGTAGGCGCAACTGGCTCATCGAAATCGGAAGCTAGAGGTCGCTTGCGTTGGGTTGCTTGAGACACCGGTGTTGAGTCAATGTTTATGGGTTGGACCGGCTCAGCGGCAAGAGTTTCATGTGGCTCCTGCTCCAATCCAGTCATAAGGAGTCCTGGAAGCCCAGCAGAGCGACGGGATTCAGGAACAGGAGGTCGAAGAGGGAGCGGGTGTTGGATAGCTGGCGCTGGAGATTCTAACTGGATCGGCGGCAGATTTGCCTGAGCCAATTTCTGGGTCTTTAGTAAAGTCTGTTTTTTGAGTTCTTCAATTCGCTGCCTTGCCAACTCCGTCTGGGCTTTGCTCTTCTCCTTTACAAGTGTTTCCTTTGGAACCGGGCGGGGTTCATCAACTTGTATCGCAGGGTGGGACTTTGCACTGCCGGTTGGTGAAGCCTCTTTGGAGGTCACCTTCGCAGCTTTCTCAGCTAGCATGCGGGCGATAAGTTCCTTTCGCTCCAGAGGTTTGCCAGCTTTGGCAGGAGGGGCAACGGGAGGGGCAGAAGGTTGGGGCGCTGGCAAGGGCACCTCAGCTGGTTTCCTAGTTCCCAGTCCTTTGCTGGCAACTGCAGCCACGGCGGAGGCCTTCTCAGGAACTGGTGGAGACTGCCCAGATGATGTGGTGACCTTGATGCCGACTTCCTCGTAAAGGCGTTTCAAGATCATAGGGTTGATGCCCTCAGCGACCAGTTCATTATACCGGATATTATGTGGCGCCAGGCTAAGCAAAGCGCCTTGGGCCTGAATTCGTAGCTGCGCGGCCGATTTCTGAGGTGGAGGGGCTGGGACAGTGGCGGGTGGGTCTTGCCGCTGAGGCTGCATCGCACGGTGAACTAAGCTTGGGTCTGCTGAGACTGACAAAGGAGGGTCGTATGCTGCACCATTATTAGTAAAACATAACTGAACACGGGGAATCATGGGAGTAATACGTGACTGACTACTTCTAACGGACTGCGCGCTAGAAGATATAGTTTCTCCTTCTTCTAGGTCCGAATACTGGCGCGTAGCCTTGCGTGTCGTAGGGTGTAGTGACCTTTCATCAGATCCCTCACTAACTTCGCCTTCTTCGCGGTGATTATCTGGCTGAACCTGGGCGGTTTTCGGATGTACAGCTGGCGTTGATAGTTGGTGTGTGACATTTCCGTCTATACCATGATACGGCATGGGGGGATGTGAGGACCCTGTTGGCATAGGGGGATAGCTCATCGGAGGAAACGGCATTGGAGGGAAATGAGGTGGAAATTGTGATGCATCGAAGTGGTTGAAGAAGGGGAACTGAGGCGGAATGAATGCTAAGTTTCCAGCACCATTTGAACCTGGAACTCGCGAATTCGCATTGACGCTTGCCATGTTATAGTCGAAGGTCGGCCCATGATTCGTCGCCGTTGGCTGATGCATTTGAGGATACTCTGAACTGGGAAAGTTCGCGGGAATCATCGAAGGGTATGCAGGAGGCCATTGCTGTGCATAGCTTGAATGGCCACCGTATGAGGGAGGTTGCTCGGACATGATGTTGTGTGCAGGGATGAAAGAGATATATTCTCTACGATTCTCAAAAGCGAGAGGCTGGAGTTCAAGAAAGGTTGCAATTTCAAAGACCAAATCTCATGTTGTCTTGAAGAATTAAACAGGTGGAGAGGTACCGGTAGGTCTTTGGGAAAAGGATACGCAGAACTTCAATTTGGAGTCACTGTGGAGGGGTGATAATGATCTGATGGCGATTTAGAAACAAGAAAGAGCCATGCGACTGTGGATTCTGCTTATAGGACGAGAGAATGATGAATAAAGGTGTTGAACTCGAGAAGAATTGAGATACGCGGTCGTCTTTTAAGGTCTAAGCGCCTTCATCGACAAAAATGATCGAGTATCTCACGTGACGCGCGCACGGGCCACCTTAGATCGGCGGGCGCCCGAGGAACGCAGAGTAAACAAACAGCATGGACATTCGGGTGCGTCACTTCGAACATCTTACTTTTCTTCCAACTTTTTGCCAACTTCACACCTCTCTTAATTGTATTCTATTTGACACCTCCTCTCTCGAGTGCCCTCCTACTCTCACTTCCACTACACTTACGACCGTGATTGTGGAAATAATCTTGGCTATGATAACGATCCCTACGCTCAAATAATGTCCCATTGAACTACGATCACCATGCTTCCCTCCCAGCTGAACGGCTCGCCAAAGCGTGCCAGTCTATTTGCACGGCCATCGTCTTCACAAGGAACACATTCCCCACATACAAGGCCTAAATCGGCCATCATTACACCATCGAATGCGCTGGAGTCAGCGAGAGGTCATCTGCGCAACACGTCCGTCTCACAGTTGTCGCCATCATTATCCCTAAGTGGAAATCGCGAGCGATCGAATTCCGCAAAGAATAGTCCTTCCTCCGGAACATTTGCGCCAAGTTTCATTAAATCTGAGGAACTACGACGGGGCGCGGATCAAATTCGTGGACTCGAAGGAGATAATGACTTTTCTGGGAACAAATATGTGTGGATACGAGACCCTCAAAAGGCTTTTGTCCGGGGTCTGGTTCTGGAAGAATTTGAAGGAGGGCGACTGTTGGTGCAGACCGACGATGGTGATGTATGGATGTGATCCCATGAGAAGGATAAAATGCGCTGACACTAGAATAGCAACAAGAACTAGACGCGGACCAGGTCGACAAAGTCAATCCTGCCAAGTTTGACAAGGCAGATGATATGGCAGAACTCACACATCTGAACGAGGCGTCTGTGGTGCATAACCTGCATACCAGATATCAGTCAGACCTAATATATGTTCGTCACGCCCAGGAAAATGCACAAATCCGTGATTTTAACTGACTTTTTGACTGTATAGACATATTCTGGACTCTTCCTAGTGACAATCAACCCGTACTGTCCACTACCAATCTACACCAATGAGTACATCAAAATGTACAAGGGCCGCGGGAGAGAGGAGACCAGACCTCATATTTTTGCCATGGCAGATGAGGCTTTCCGGAATCTTGTCGAGGAGGGACAGAATCAAAGCATCCTTGTAACAGGAGAGTCTGGAGCAGGAAAAACCGAAAATACGAAGAAGGTCATCCAGTACCTCGCTGCTGTCGCCACTTCTGATACGCCTTATGGTCGTTCCGGAGCGAAGCAACTCACCGGCCTTTCGCAACAGATTCTACGAGCCAACCCTATTCTCGAAGCCTTTGGTAACGCCCAAACGGTCCGAAATCACAACTCCTCCCGGTTCGGAAAATTTATTCGCATTGAATTCTCTCGCGCAGGCCAAATCTCTGGAGCTTTGATCGATTGGTATCTGCTCGAGAAATCAAGAGTCGTCAAGCCTAACCCCAACGAGAGAAACTATCACGTTTTCTATCAGCTTCTCCAGGGCGCTGACCGTGAAACACGCGAGAAGCTTCTCCTAGCGGACCTTCAGATCGAGGATTTCGCCTATACGAGAGACGGAAATGACTCTATCGTAGGTGTCTCTGACCAGGAAGAATGGAACTCGTTGATTGAAGCTTTCCATGTGATGAACTTCGATGACGAGGATCAGCTCTGTATCCTGCGGACTATCGCTGCTGTTCTGCATCTGGGAAATGTGAGTGTTGCGAAGGCGAGTATGCGAGCAGACCAGGCAACTCTGGCGCCTGAGGGATACTCCAGCATGGAAAAGGCTTGCTACCTTCTTGGTATTGAGGCCGAAGCTTTTGTCAAGGGTCTTCTGCATCCACGCGTGAAGGCCGGCCGGGAATGGGTGGAGAAGGTCCAGACACCAGACCAGGTCCGGATGGCCCTGGATGCCCTCTCAAAGGGAATCTATGAGCGCGGATTTGGAAATCTTGTCGCTAGAATCAATGGCCAGCTTGGTCGCTCAATGGCTAGCGACGATAACTATTTCATTGGGGTCCTTGATATTGCTGGATTTGAGATTTTCGACAACAACAGTTTCGAGCAACTCTGCATCAACTACACAAATGAGAAACTTCAGCAATTCTTTAACCACCATATGTTTGTTCTTGAGCAAGAAGAATATGCGAGGGAGCAGATTGAGTGGCAATTCATCGACTTCGGAAAGGACCTGCAGCCAACAATCGACCTTATCGAATTGACCAACCCCATTGGCATTTTCTCTTGTCTTGATGAAGATTGTGTGATGCCCAAAGCTACGGACAAATCATTCACCGAAAAGCTCCATAGCCTTTGGGACCGCAAGACTCCAAAGTACCACGCCTCTCGTCTCAACCAGGGCTTCATTCTCACGCATTACGCCGCGGAAGTTGAGTACAACACGAGTGATTGGCTTGAGAAGAACAAAGATCCGCTCAACGACAATATTACACGCCTGTTGGCCGCCTCGAAAGCACCACACGTAGCAAATCTGTTCTCTGACTGTGCAGACTCAGAGGAGGATGGTGGCAACCATCCCAGGAGTCGTGTCAAGAAGGGCTTGTTCCGCACGGTTGCCCAAAGACACAAGGAGCAGCTATCTAGCTTGATGGCTCAGCTCCACCTGACCCACCCTCATTTCGTCCGTTGTATCCTACCTAATCATAAGAAGCGTCCGAAGATGCTGCACGCTCCATTGGTCTTGGATCAGCTCCGATGCAACGGTGTCCTGGAAGGGATCAGGATCGCTCGTACTGGATTCCCGAACCGCTTGCCGTTCACAGAGTTCCGACAGCGTTATGAGGTTCTTTGCCAGGATATGCCGAAGGGGTACTTGGAGGGACAGACTATTGCTCGCACTATGTTGGCAAAGCTTGGTATGGATCGGGGCTGGTACAGGGTTGGCCGCACCAAAGTTTTCTTCAGAGCAGGTGTTCTGGCCGACTTAGAAGAGAAACGTGACCAACTCATCCGAACTATCATGTCTAAGTTTCAATCTCTGGCACGAGGATTTGTCCAGCGCCGCATTTCGAACAAGCGCCTCTACCGCGCGGAGGCAACCAGGATTATTCAACAGAACTTCCACGCTTACCTAGATTTGAAGGGGAGCCCTTGGTGGCGCATGTTTTCAAGGATGAAGCCGCTACTGGGGGACACGAGAAATGCGAAGGAAGTCAAGAAGCGTGACGACAAGATCCAGCAACTCGAAATCAAGATGAAACAGGATCTTGCCGAACGCAACAAACTGGACGAAGAAAGACGCCGGACTGAGATCGAGATTCAGAAGATACAGCATACTTTGGAAAGTGAGCGAGCACTTGCATTGGACAAGGAGGAGATTTTCAAGCGACTGCAATACCGAGAAGTGGAGCTCGCTGATAAGCTTTCCGGTGCAATCGCAGACCAGGAAGGCCTTGAAGAGCAACTGGATGAATTGGTCTTTGCGAAGAGGAAAATTGACGACGAGCTGCAACTTCGGATTACCCAGCTGGAACAGGCCGGTTTGATCATCCAGCAACTCGAGTCAGAAAAGAACAGTCTGCATTCTCGAGTCAAGGAACTCGATATCAAGCTTTCTGAAACGGAGGCTCAGTTCTCTGGAAAAGACCTCCAAATTCAAGAATTGGGCCAAGAGATCAAGATACTCCAAAGCCACCTCAGCTTGAAAGATCGTAAGCTTCAAGACCTGGAAGCCAAATTGTTGAAGACCGATCAAGATCTTGATATTAAACTCGCAAATACTTCTAAGGAACTCGATAAATCCAAGAAACAAATCCGCGATGTCACCGAAGAGAACAGGTCAATTCGTGATCAGATTGCCGAACTCTCGAGTACTTCCACTAGCTACGAAGAACTACTTCGTCGAAAGGAGAGCGAGATCGCAGTTCTTCGAAACGACGTTCAGATCCACGAGGAAGAAAAGAGAAGCATTGAGTCCGAAAAAATTTCCCTTGCGGCACGCCACGACAACATGCAATCTAAACTTCGTGAGGTACAAGCGGAGAGAGATGCCATGCGCTCCGAACAGAGGCAACTTCAACGCGAAGCTGCGGACCTCAAGAATTTGCTTGAGAATAAGAGATCGGAGGATGCCGAGGCTGGACAGAGTAGGAAGCTGCTAGAGGAACAAATAAATGATCTCAAGCACCATCTCTTCCAGGCTCAAGCCGACCTTAGCCGAGAACGCCAGTCACGAGATGACGTGCAAATGCTTTCCGAGCACAATCTTGCACTGTTGACTCAGAAATATGAGACCCTCAACGACTCTAAGATTACCATCGAGAAAGAGATGTACATCCAGCAAGATAGCTTGCGTCGCGCTACGGAGGCACGAGTTACAGCGGAAACAACTAAGAAAGAACTGCAAAGCGAATTGATCAAGCTCCGCGAGAGGTTCACCGACGCCGAAACTGCCCGTATGAATGCCGAGGCTGAGATTGAACGAAAAATCATGAGCCAGGCCGAGGAGCGTATGACAAGTTCACGAAAGGACCTTGAGGAGAAGGCTCGCCAGCTTGAAGAAGTTGAGACTGAACGATCACAACTCTCAGCGCGGATTCAAGAACTCATGCACTCGATCTCTGAATCAGAAAACTTCCGTCTGCGTCATGATCAGCACAAGGAGCGTCTTGAACGAGAGCTCGTGACTCTCAGAGGCAGGCTGACTGCATCCGAAAACGATAACAAGTCACTCTTGACGAAGATTCAGCAAAAGAACCTTGATATTGCCCGATCAAACTCGAAGGCCAGTGATAATAATCGACTCCGTTTGACAACCCTTCAAAAGGAAAAGTCCAGGCTCGACGAAGAGACCAAGAGATTGAGTCGTCAGTTGGAAGACTCGCAGGTCATGATAAGATCCTTGGAGAAGCAGAAAGAGAAGTTGTCGCTGAGTTTGGAGGATTTGAATCATGAGGTCAATCGCGAGCACAAAACCAGTCGTAATGCTGAAAAGGCTGCTTCAGCGGCGAACCTGCAACTAGCAGAGGCCAATCGAAAGCTCGAAACCGAACGGCAACTTCGCAATCAAGCTCAAGCTAATACCCGTCAAACCCAGGGCACACTTGATAGGGCGAACAAAGAGATCGAGGACTTACACCGCCAATTGATCCTATTACACAAGGTCTTCGAGCCTGAGGCTACTGAGCCAGCTCAATCCTGGGAGGCTGTTCAGCCACACCTTTCTAAGAAAGTTGATCTGGCCCAAGTCCTTGAAACTGTTCAAAACAGGCTTGGGGTTACCGAGGAGAAGTACGCAAGAGCGGAGAGCCAGCTTGCTGAAATGCGCCGACGTCATGGGGATGAAATGAAGGAGCTCGACGCCAAATATTCATCATCTAAGCGCGCTTTGCTCGAGGAGATCGACCAAAACGAAGTGACCAACAACCGTACCCCGGCTCACCTCAGGAAGAACTCCGAAAATGCTGCTAAGAAATATTCTAACCCTACTACTCCCAATCGACGCTACAATGTCTTCGAAGCACCGAATGACTCCGCGAGGTCCGACCGAACAGTGGACACACAGGCCTATCAAAGGCGTATGGATACAGCCGCTGAACTGGAAGAACTTCAGAATAAGCTTCAGATGACTGAGATGCAAAACAAGCACCTCCAGAGCCAGCTTGGACGCTCTACTCCCACCGCCGATATATGGCAGGACGAAAGTCCGTCAATCCGTCGCATGCAGCTTCTCGAGCGAGAGAATGGTCGTCTTCACGACCAACTCGACGACTCTTCCAAGAAGGTTTCATCGTTGGAACGTAGCATCCGCTCCGGAGAATTGTCCCTGCGCGACGTTCAAGCTAAATCGCACGAAGAACTATATGACCTTATCAACTCACAAGAGCAATCTAGGCGCTCACTCCTCAAGGTTCACAATGAAACCATGACTGAATTTGGTGATGCCAAGGCTCAGTTCGAAAAGTTGAAGCGCGCCAGAGCCACCTTGGAGGTTGAACTTCGTGATGCCCTTTCCGAGGCCCAAGAGCTGCAAGTCGGCAGAGAGCAAGATGCAGTTAGCCGTAACCAGCTTCTTCAGGAATTCTCGGATCTCCAGATTCGCCTAGATGCCGAGTCTTCGAGATCGGCTGATCTGGAGTCAAGCCTCATGTTGTACAAGAGTCGCTCCGATGAATACTTCAACAAACTCGAGCAGGCCGAAATTGCAGTTATGAAGGCTTCCCGCGCCGAGCAGTTCGCCAAATCCCAAGGGCAAGAAGCCGAAGAAACCTGCGCTCAGATTATGTCTGAGCGCAAGGAGATGGATGCGCTTGTTGAGGACTTGCAGCGACAGGCACAGTCCCTCGAGGCTAGGATGGAGGACCAAGCTGCGGAACTTCAAGGTGCCTTGCAGGCTAAGCAACGTCTCCAGAATGAACTCGAAGATTACCGCAACCAGCGAGCGATTGATCTCGAGGACAAGGAGACCTCCATGGAGCAGACCCGACAAAAGTACCAGAGAGAATTCTCTACTCTCAACAACGAACTCGAGATGGAACGTGAGCGTGTTCTCAATGGCCGTGGAGAGACTTCTCGTCTCCGTGAGGAGCTGGAGAATCTTCGCAGCAAATGGGACAACGAAGTTCTCAATAGCTCAACATGGGCTAAGGAAAAATCTCGGATGGATGTTGTCCTGCAAGATGTCACCAATTCTCGTGACGAAGCTGTCAACGCACACAACGAGGCTCAGAGTAAAGTTGTCTCACTCCTATCCCAGGTGCGCACCCTTCGGACCTCCATTGAGGATGTTCAAGCAGAGCGTGATATGCTTCTGAAGGACAAGAAGATGCTGGAAGGTCGATTGGCCGAAGCAGGCGACCGACTTGAGGACCTTGCCAAGGGTGAAAGCCCATCTATGCGAAACGCTGCCAGTATGGACCGCGAGCTTCTTGAGCTCAAGTCTAGAATTGCGCAGCAGGAAGATGTTTCTGCCGCCGCGGTTGGAAAGATGCGCCGTGCAGACGCCCTGGCAACTGAAATGCAGAAGGAGGTCACTGCTGAGCGGGAGGCTAATGCTCAGCTCTTCAAGGAGAAGGCAGCAGTTGAGAAGCAGCTGAAGGAAGCCCAACTCCGGTGTCTCGATCTCGAAACCAAGAGTTATTCCTCTGGTAGCCAGGATGTTCGCTTCTTGCATAAGCGGATCAAGGAGGTAAGTTCAAATGGCTTCATGCTCAGTCTCTGTGACTTCCGTACTAACCCTGCTGTTCAGCTTGAGACCCACCTCGAAGAACAGGAAAGCAAGCACAGCTCCGAGCAGCGCTCTCTTCGCAATGTTGATCGCACCGTCAAGGATCTCCAATCCCAGATTGACAGGCGAGACAAGGTGAACACTCAGCTGACTGACGAGGTCAACAGAGCTCGGGACAAGATTGAACGGCTCCTTCGCAATATCGAGGAGATTCAGCATAATGACTCGGACGCCCAGCTGCTGGCCCGCCGCGCCGAGCGAGATCTCCGCGAGGAGCGTGAGAAAGCATTGCGGCTGGAACGCGAGCTGGAGGGCTGGAAAGCCCTGCGCGTTGAGCGAGGCAGTGTTATTGGGCGTGGTGTGACCTTCAGTGATACTGGAAGCCGTCGCGGGAGTGGTGTCTATGGATCTAATGACATTCCCCAGCGGCAACCCAGCAACACCAAGGGCTTTTTGTGAATAGGGAGGGTTTGGTTTATGTTTAGCAGGCTAATCCTGCTCGGAGTTGCAACATTGATTACGGAGGGATGTTTTAATGAGGTTTATTTGCATTTGGGAAAGGGATGGTCTAGTCTTTTCAGCTGGCCACGGGCTTGCTCATATTATTTGAAAGGCCAAGCTTTTATTCCTTGGTCTCGATTTCCGGCGTTCATTTTTGTTTCAGTTTCGTGTTCATCAGTAAATATGTATGCTCCACGGGTGGACTAGACTATCTACAATGTCGAGAATGTAACAACTCACTAAGCCCTCTATTTTGTTCGGTGTTCTGTCTTCGGATGTTGGCAAGGACGCTTGGCTATTACTAGGGGATTGATAACTAATGAGCTGGCCACACCATGTACGGCAACTCGCATAGGGTCCTGCCACCCTGCTCCTGGATGCCCAAATCCGTCCACCTAACTTCTAGTGACGTTCAGAGGACCGATGAAGGACAGCTACAGCTTCCTATCGAAGAATTGGAATGATCTGGTGATAGAAACATCTTCAGGATGACAATTATCTCAAGGGTGGCTTAGCCTTCCACCGCATCCATTAGTTCTGGCAGGAGAAGCTCAATACATTGATCAAGACTTTTGCTACTGAAAGTCGAAAAGTGCCTATGGTTCTCGAACACTGGGAATGATGGAAATCAACACAGGAATAACAAGAGTTCACCGAGGATGCATGCTGGGGTTTCCATAAAGACCCACAGCGTTAGCGCCTGTAGGGGACTCACCATCCGACTCGGGCTCCGACTCAAACACAGATCGTGGAGGCAAAGCAGGGGGATAAGGACCAGGGACGGGCCGGTTGTAAGCCATGTAAGTGTCAACAGGAGGAGTAGGGCGAGGCCTCACCGGAATCTGAGAGTTCATACGAGCCAGACTAGCAGCGGGGGGGATCTGAAGAGCATTCACATATGGGTCTGGGGCGGAATCCTCGGCACAGGAAAGCGTTACAGGAAACGGCACAACCAAATCCCAGAGGAATGACTGCGTCTCGAGGATGCGGGCAATATCAGCGGGGGCCCTGTGGCGCAAAAAAGACTCACTCGTCAGCATGTTCAAAGTGTCAGTGGTGTAAATACAGGCCCAATCAAATTCGGCCATTGGGTCCTGGCCAGGACGCTCGATCAGGACGGTGAAAAATCCAATAGGGACAACAGCCACAAGCTCATTTGTCGAACAATCAATGGCCATCATCTGTCCGGCTCGCTTAAGTTGTTCCAATGATAGGTGGAGCTGATCAACCCTATCATGGAATTCATCCTGAAGCGATAAGCCATCGTGAAGGAAGTCGTCAATGAGTTGCTGGCAGCGGGTTTGAAATCCAATGCGCGTGGTATGAAAGAGCCGGGCCGAAGTGGTGTCTAGCATCACTGACATGGCTTCTCAGTGATAGCAGAAATCCGAAGCCAGCAGAAGGCTGTGGCAACGCTGATCAGGGAAGATGAATTCCTAACTCGAAGGTCAAGAACGGATGGTCAAAAACTGCTTCGGCTCGAGGGATAACGTATCATGGCTCGACCTGGCGTATTTATATCTTTCGTACGTTGCACTTCCAACAATGTTAAGATTATTATTTCGAATGAATAAAAAAGCTAATAAAGGAAAACAAGAAAGACGACAAAGACGAAAAATGAAACACATGGACTGATAGATCTAGAAAAATGGCCTTGTTGTTCTTTGTTATTTATTTGGGCCGGGAATTGGAAACTAGATGAGGGTGTGTGGATATAAAAAGAACCATTGGCAACGTCCGTAGCTGCTGTACAATCCAGACAATGATGTCCAAATAAGAAATATATTAAGAATAGATGAAAAAAAGCGATAGAACAGCAAACTCAATAGCCGGATTTCACAAAATCACTAATAGATTATCTCACCAAGGGTATCAACGTAAGTCGTAATTCGTTGACCTCCAGATCATGAGGCAAACATAGAAACATTAGAGGAAAGCAGGAAAACAAAGAAGCAAGAATATCATTAAAACATCCATGTCACTTATCCTGTGCTGAACGGGAGGCGCAATGCGCATAATCGGTAGTGTATGACGGACTACCGTCTGCCATGCAGATATTTGAAGATCCGATGCTAACATCTAGACGGCGGAGCGACCCCAGCGGCGGCGGCGACTGTTCAGTATATCAGTATCAATCAATCAAGAAGCTATTATCAGAAGATGTCATTGGTTACTTACACTCCGTCAGAGGTGCTTTGGCGAACACGGAAGGTGAACCAGATCCCCTGAGAGTTTCTTAGTCCGTATTCACATGTGGGTTGTATCATCTCATCACATACCACGATACCAGAAGCAAGCCAGACAATGGCTGAAAGGAAGCTGAAAGCCTCAGCTGCCTTCCAGCGACCACATGTCTGGTCCCCTCTAAAGTGCCAGGACCAGATGCTGCCGCAGGGCAGGCGGCGGATGGTGTCGACGAGGACACCGAATGCAGCGAACCAAGCAAATGAAATGAGGATGTCCACTATATTCCAGTAAGTATTGCTCCATATTCACCAGGTATATCCAGCACATACGAGGCCAGGAGAAGAATCCCGACGCGAACGGGATCAGCCATATGAGGCCCAGCAGTATCGATAAGCCGGCGATTACTTCAGTATAGATCCATCGCGACTGAGGCCACCAGTCAATATCTGTGCCGCTGTGGTTAACCTGGGCAAGGTAGTGTCCGATGACACCTGCGACGACCTAGAACAGAGTCAGATGCGGTCAATAAGTTGAGCTTGATCAGGGCTATTCACAGCTGCAAAGGCAATCTCCGCAACGCGGAGGATGATAGACGCGAGGCGTGAAATGACGGGCATTTTTGAGTTATCAGATCAATGAGCAGTTTCTTTCATAAATCGGAAGGATGTGATTGTATAAGGAGATAATGTGTCAAGCTCGTGAAGATATGGTATGGGATAAGAGGTTAGGGAACGCGAGAAGCTATATAACGTGTTAGGTTGCACAGACGAGTAAACCTCGAGAGGGAGCGACAGTGTCTTTTAAAGCAAGGGACGAAGTGAAAAGTCAATAAATTAGAAAAAGGAAATTCAATTAAAATTCAAGATAAAGCACAGCTTACATTAGGCGCGACCAATAGAGTCAATCTAAGCCTCCTGGTGTGACGATCTGAGAGGATCGTACTTACCCAACGGGGTAGGAGCGGTCACGTCCTCGTACTTACCGCAGGAACGACTATGCCCTCGTACCTTCCTAAAAGAACGAACGAGAATTAAGCGAGATAAACGCAAGAGTATAAGAAGGGAAGAACATGTACTTAGATAGTTTCTCTTTTTCCTTTCTTCCTTATACTTAGAATTTGGTTAGAATTGCACTCTTTTCCTTTGAATTGAATTGGCTCGTAATATAATTCTAAGTACTAAACTAACTCAACCTTTAGACTATACAGCTATATAAGCGGTTATTATAACTAGTTCTAGCTTAGTCTAACCTTTCAAAAATTTTTCCCTTTTTTCGATTATAAATATAGCTCCCTTAATAAGAAGCTTAGTAAGCTGTAGAAAGTAATCTCTTAAAGCCCTATATAAAGAGGATCTTAACTAGCTAGGCCTAGCTACCCCGACTCCTAGTACCTTAACCTCGAACCCTACTATAATAGAAAGTATTAAGTATAATAAGATAATAAACCTTAAAGAAGAAAATTTAATATATAATATACTCTAAGGAACCTTAAAGGAAGAATAGTTTATAACCCTTACTAGTTAATATAAGGATACTATAAAAGAAAACCGAAAACTAATTATAGAAATTACTACTCTCTATACTAAGGAAGTGGAAATAATAACCTTAATCTAGAACTTAACTCTTAAATATAATAAGGTAATTACTTACCTAAACCTTATACTATAAGAAAGAGACTATTATACCTACTATCTCTTAAATAATAAACCTATAACTCGAGGAACTTCCTTATACTCTAGTATACTAATTATAGGAACTAGAAAAACTACTAAGATACCTAATATACCTATCCTTAAGGATAGGAAAGAGGTATAATTTAAAACTTAGGAAATAATTATTTAGTAGAAACTTAAGGCTAATACTAACTATTACCCTCTCTCTATCTACCGAAAGATCTATATTTAGAGTTACTATAAAGGTAAGGCCTAACTCTATATTATACTATAAATAAGCGTAGCCTTAAGTAACCTATATCTTAATACTAAGGATATTATTATATACCTATAAACTATCTTTATAAACCTAAATAGGAAAGTAGAAGCTTATACTAGCTATTATAAGCTAATAATAAAACCCTATAATAACTTTACTAACTTCCTTATAGAATTTATATAGCTTATAGAGGAAGTAGCTATTATTAAAGAAAATTATAAGTATAACCTATACCTAAAGCTACCCTATTTCTTATAGTTATAAGTTATATAGGTAGTAAATTAGAACTAGGTTAACTTTAATATATTTATTTAGACTTACTAGAGTATAATATATAAGATTAATTTATAATAAGAGAAAAAGACTATAAACTAAACCTATACTACTATAAGTTCTAATATATAGAGTAGAAGTATATAAGCTATTACTATAACTTATAATCCCTATATTAAGAAAGAATTAGGTATAAACTATACTAGAGGTATAATAACTACTAAAAGAAAAGTACTAATATATAAAGATAAATACTTTTATTATAAAGAAAAAGGGTATATAACTTATAACTACCTAAAAAAGTAGAATACTACTACTATCGCTATAACTAGTACCTATACTCTAAGAATAAGTAAACTTAAAGAACTTAAGGGAAATAATATCTAGGATTAGGGAAAAGCCCCTACTTAGGGAAAGTTTCTATCCTAGATAGGAAAGAGATATTATTATATACCCTTAATCTATAGAAACTCTTAGGAAGCCTAGGAAGTAGTTTAATTTTTAATATAAACTTAATATATAATAGATATTCCTTTTTAATCGATATACTAGTAGATACTAGAGTAGATAGATTAATCTTTATTAATTTAGTATTAGTTATATTACTTAGAAAGAAATTTAGTCTTTATATATATAAATTAAACTAAGAATATCTAGTTAGAGGTTTCGATAGAAAACTTATTAACCTAATTACCTATATTATTATACTTACCCTAAATATTAATAGTAGAATATAATAATAAGTCCTAATATTAGTTACTAACTTAGGAAAGTATAATCTAATCTTAGGAAGAATATAGTTCTCTAAGTATAATATATTACTTAACTATTATTACTATAGAATAATCTAGCTATAAAGGAAATCACTCTTTAATAAAGTAGCTAGAAAACTTATAATACTAGTACTAATATAGATCCTTAAAAGGAATAAGCCTAGAAATAAAAAGCACTAGGTAAATGTAGATCGATAGGATTAGTTCTTTAAGGAACCCTAGAAGGACCCTATAACTTAGAAGTCTTATCTATAAGTATATATCTACTAATATAGATACTAGTAGGTTAAAGAATAATATAAGATAATATATAATCTAAATAATAAGATTCCTTCTATACTACCCTAGTAGTATAATAAAGCCTCTAATAAAGAGGAACTAAAGGAAATATATCCCCTAATTAATATAAGTATTATTAGGTAGGCTAGGTTTAACTAACTATAAGTAAGGATAGAAACTAATAGAGGTATTAAATTATTCTTAACTTCTCTTATAAAAATAGATTATATTATTAATATTAAATTAGTAATAATCTAAAATATAGAAATTAAGAAGATTAAAAGGACTCTCCTAAAAGAATACTATAACTTAGTAGATATATTTTCGAAATAGAAATCTAATAAGTTACTACTATACTATATAGGAGTAGATTATAATATTATCCTTAAAGTAGAAGTATAATTAGGTTATTACCCTCTTTATAAGTTATCCCTTAATAAACTAAAAGCTATTAAGTAGTATATTATAGATAATCTCTAAAAAGGATTTATTATACTAAATTTAGCCCTATATACTTTACCTATCTTAATAGTAAAGAAGCTAGGTAGTAGACTATATTTCTATATAGACTTTAGGTAACTAAATAGTATCTTAAAAAAGGATTATTATTCTCTTCCCTTAATTAATAAGGTATTATAAAGAATAAATAAAGCTAAGTTTTTTATAAAGCTTAATATTTATTAAGGTTTCTATAGAATCTATCTAATACCTAGTATTAAAGACCTTACTACCTTTTATATAAGGTATAGCTCCTTTAAGTATAAAGTTATACCCTTTAGGTTAACTAATAGACCTATTACTTTCTAATAGTTTATAAATAATATATTATAGGAATATATAGATAAATATATAGTAGTATTTATTAATAATATTCTAATCTATAGTAATACCCTTAAAGAGTATAAAGTATA